CTGTTTTCTTCGCACTATTGTCACGTGTATGTAAGCTCCAAAAATATCTCAAAATATTCATCGAAACATTTCAAAACACTCTAGTGAACTACCATCGTCTCACCCTCATGAAGTGACGGCGTATTTTCCTTCGAGTAATACACAGCTCGGCGGCTCCGTCCTGCTGTCGCCGCTATCGCCTTACTGCGGGGGGAAGCGGGAGCACCTGGTTTACGATTTGGCCACGTGTCGCGAAAAGCATTGCGTTCGCTCTTGCCTCACATGTGTCTCTATTTATTTCTGATTTTTTCGATAATCTGCAAGAGCGTTGGGGGGAACGGAAGTGGGGCTTGAAATAGGGCGCAGCTGATATACACGGAAACGAAAGCTCTGCTTGCCTTAGCAAGGGAAGATTGTAGGCCTTGTTGGTGCAACATGTTCGTGAAGTTAAGCACCGCACTGAAATGACGAGGACGGGACAGGGAGAACACACACGCACTAACTTTCAGCAATTATTTATTGGAAGCCGGGTCACTGAATATATGCGTGAAAATGGCGGACAGCAAATGTGGTGCATGCGTACCTCGTTATCATTATCCCGAAAATAATTGTCAATTCTTCATGCCACCACATCTGCTCATGCCTGCAGTGTCCGTCATTTTCATGTATACATTCAGGGGCCGGGCTTCCAATAAATCATCAATTGTTGAAAGTGTGTGTGTGTGTGTGTGTGTGTGCGTGTGTGTGCGTGTGTGTGTGTGTGTGTGTGTGTGTGTGTGTGTGTGTGTGTGTGTGTGTGTGTGTGTGTGTGTGTGTGTGTGTGTGTGTGTGTGTGTGTGTGTGTGTGTGTTTGTCGCTAGTCATTCAACCTGTGCAATATTTTTCCGAATATGCGCACCGCGTCCCGCACTATATAGTTAGCGCAAGCGTGAGCATGCCTTTGCGCGCGGGACAAATTCGTATATTGCTTTTTCATGTTTAAGTAGTTTCTGTTCGACGGATACACTCCACTACACTGAGAACTGTGTTTTTCAACTGTACGCACGAGGCGAGAACTCTTGAAACTATTGTTTCATGCGAACGAGATTTCCATAGGTCCGTACTCTGCTCCAGGATTCAAAATCCCATTGTGACAGATTTTCCTGAGGCAGTATTAGAAACTCTATACCTCTTTGTTTGTCTGGTCTATTTGGAGCCAATGTTCGCTATATCACTTCTCTTTCTTTCACATCGCAACAACAAAATCGTCTTTATTGTCATAGTTTTGACTTGTCAATTTTCGTGCTCGAACGATCAATTTCACAATTTTGAGCGCCTCAATGAAGTTGCTAAAAAATATTACTTTCATAGATGCCTGGCTTAGCCACCCTATGAAGCTCTAAGGTCCATGCCTCTCGCATTTAAATGTTGCTATGAACCATCTTGCAATTTCTCTTTTACCGCAATATAATATCGTGGTATACAACGTGTTGTAGTGAAAGATGTGCAAAAGTACTGGCATTTAGACAAACACGTCGACGTTGCTTGTTTCGCAGTCAGTTTTCACAGGACGTGGTGCAACAGGGAAAGCTCTTTACACGGGTTCAATGGAAAAACAGGCAAAAAAAAAACAGGACAGGGAAACACGTTCGACACAACGCAGCGTTGCGTAGTCCAGTATTTTGCACCCTTCTGCTCTAATGTACATGAACCAACTGGTCCAGTCCGGTTGGTTAATGAACATTACAGAAACAGGCGCAATGTCCTCCATTCTTGGCGAATGTTCGAATCATGCAGATTGCTTATAAAACGCGAATGGTGAAAGATACATTATCCGCGAAACGCGAGCACTCGGGATCACGGTGGACTCTTCCATGACTTATATGTAGCCTACGCAGTATCCACCCATTCCACTTCCAACGACTGTGTTCTATGTTCGCCGTTTTCTTTATTGTTACTGTCGGCTTTTTCTTACTTGGTGCGCACAAGTTTGCCCAATAAAGAGTTGAATGTTCATCTCACGCCATTCGCTGTTGTCTCCATTCCTTCACAACGTCGCAACCACGTGGCATTTGTTCGAAGTGCTTCTGTATCAACGTGTCAGCTATCCACACAAAATTTCCACCCGCATTGCTTAAGCTGAACATCTGCCAGGATACGAACCCCTTTCCAGTAAGAACAACAAAAAATGAAACTATCGTGACCGCAACAGCAGCCGCCATGACAGCTCCAGTACGGCCTGCAGTGATCGTGCTGTAAAAATCGAAAGAGCCACCGCCATTTCATGCATTTTCTATGTGACTACTGATGAAGTTCCTAAGCCTTATGTAACCTCGCGAATGGCTGGTGATAAATGACATTCATACTGAGGCGTTCACGTGCATTGGCAGGGGTGTTGTGGGGGGGGGGGTGCAAAAAGGGACACTTTACACCCTCCCAAGCCACTACACTATAGTACTCCCACTCCCCCCCCCCCCCCCCCGTCCGTTACGGCGATGCTCCCGACGCACATGCTCGTGGTGACGTGGTATGGGGGCCTGGCAGAGCACGGAGGATAGCTCATAGGCTTATGGCATGTGCATGCATTGTTGAGTCACGCTGTGTGTGCCTTCTTGTTAGCATGCCCACGCTTCACTTTTCAAAAAATGTTCATGCTTTCAACGCAATAGAAAAGGAGGAAACCAAACTGATCAGTTGCCTGCATATCTCGCGAGGCTAGATCTGCCCACTGCTACAACATTCTCTTCCTCATCTACTGAAGATGGGAAAATAAAAAGTGGGCTTGAGTGCCGGACAAATAGAGCTCTGTAGATGCCTTGCACAATAATTAACGTTCTTTCTTTCTGCTGGTCGCTATATAGTACAAGAGCGGGACGGTAAAAATCAAATCCAATGATTATGCGTCCAGAGTCCTGCAGACATTTTCACGTAATGTTGCCACTTACCTCAGGTTTCATGCCTGTTACTTCGTCAAGCAGCTTGTCGCTTTTTTTCCCCTCTACGCTGTATTCATGGAAATAAAAATTATTATTATTATTATTATTATTATTATTATTATTATTATTATTATTATTATTATTATTATTATTATTATTATTATTATTATTATTATTATTATTACTATTATTACTTCGCCATGTAACTGCTGGGCTGTACCTCAAATAACTCTCTCTGCACCACTTATATGCAAATATGCTTTAAACTTCTCTTCTCCTCCCCCCCCCCCCCAATGAGCAGCATAGGCGTTTGCCCAAGGGGAGCAGGGGAGGTGGCCGCCCTCCCCCTAATCACTCAAGAGGGGGCGTAAAGTCAGCCCCACACATGGCATGTCATAATAGGTAGAGGCGGAGCTGCGACACGGGGGAGAGAGGGGCACAAAGTCAGCGCCCCCCCCCCCCTTAAGGGGAAGCACGTAACCGTGCATGTCTATGCTGAGCGGGGTAGTTACCAGACCCAACGCTGTTAACCTCCCTGCTTTCATTTGTCCTTATTGTCCTGCTGGGGGGTCTGGCATCTTCTAATACGACGGTTACTTCATCAAACCAGACGGCAACGTGATGTCATTACATCCTATCTTCTACAGCGGAAGCTGTTATGAGATCACAACACGCGTCGCGTCCGCCGCCGCCGCCGCCGGTGTCCGTAACCACTATCGTGCAAGGCGAGAAAAGTACGAGGTAAATAATGAACACCAAGTAACAATGGGATTCGAACACGTGTTCCCTGCGTGCCAGCTCAATATTCTACTACTAATATTGCTACGCCGGTGCTTGGAACTCCGTGGCAAACGGACTTTAGGGAGTCTTCAATTCAGGAATGAAATCGCACTGATATGTGCAATAAAGCGGTTAGAATATAACAGCAAAGGAACAATCAACCAGGTGTCACAAAATGCGAATCGCGTAACGAGTGTGTCGTGGAATGGTACAACCCCGTTACAATATTACAATAGCGCTAGGCATAGTGCTTCGTCCTCAGCCACAGGCAGGAGCGGATCCAGCCACTCATTTTAGGGGGGGGGGGGGGGGGAGGGTCGCTTCAAGTAACACCGGAGAAGGGGGGGGGGGGGGTGTCGTCACTACTTTTTTATTTTTAAAAGCACAAAAAACTCTGTCAAAGCATAAATACTAATGTGGTCAAACTAGCAGTTTCCTCCTGGGGCGATCGCACCTATCCGCCACTGGCCACATGATAAGAAGAATTGCACAAGATTCCTTGCAAGTGTGCAGCGGGTATCACGCTGCACCGAAGAATGACGAAGGGTGTCTTATTGAATGGCTGCCTGTTTTAAGGTTCGCTACATCAGGCTTGGTATACAGACGCACGCTTCACTTAAAAAAAAAATGCCTTTGATGCTATGTGTAACATAATTATAGCTACTCAAGGAGTGCCATTTTAATCAGGTATTTCAAGTTTTGTCATTGTTTATAAAGCAGTCTGGAACACTATCTCGAAAGCATAATACTTGTAGTTTACATTTAATGTATTACGTATTACCATAATTCTTCATTACGGTATTAAAGGACTCTGGTATTACTATAGGTTTATTTCTTTATTTCTTTAATCACCAACTAATTTTCAAATAACATTTAAAAGCCTCAACGTCGCATTCTTGGCCAATCCCCCAATGTGGTATGTTGTATGTGCCATATATTGGGGTAAAACAAACAAACAAAAATACTTGTTCAAAAAATATGACTTATGGTGTAGTGGGTACCTTGCAAGTGTGCTTGTATAGCAGTTCCCCAAATAGTGTTTAAAATGGTTCTGAAAGGCCGCTCCTCCAGCTTCAAACACACGGCTGGTGGTTACAGAAACCGAAACCGAAACACAAAGTCAATTTAAAGTTAACTTAAAAATTCTACAACCAAATAAACGTGAAACTATTATACTTCGTGCCAAGCTTTTTGCATAAAGTGTACACATTTTTAAGTTTGGTTTTATTTAGTAGTTTATAGTTATTTTTGCAAGTTGCCTTTCAAGCCAGGCATCTGCGCTTGTCGTCGTTTCCATTCAGAATTTCCAGACGGCGCTGCTGCCAAAATATGGCGCTGTCATATCGGATAAGAATATTTCTAATACAAGTTTTATTTATATGTAAGTACACGTCTTGTACTTTTGTTGTATTTACCGACCTGTTAGTAGTTTATAGAAGCACAAAGCCGTGCTCTTGTTCACTGTAGCATAAGAGCAGTGCTTTCAAAAGCAAGCAGCCTTCGTTTGCGGCATGACTTGGCGGTGTCGATCGTATGCTGTCAATTCATTTTTTATATATATTTGGTGGGACAATTCAGCGATGAGCTGTCTCGGACAGCGCTTTCTGTGGGCTTTACAAATGCGCTCCTTGTTATTGTTCTCAAAATCTTCGTGATCTTCGGGTCTCTTTTTCAGCCATCATTGATCAAGTTCTGTCGGATAGGACGAGCCTAAAGATATATCAGCCCATCCAGGCCGATTTCTACTGTTTCCGAAGACTTAACGGAACACACGAATTCGGATGTTCGTGTAAGTAATCGTTTCATTGATTCGCATGGAAAAACTGAGCGTTGGCGTTGTCGCTCGCAAGTTGCTTTGGTCGGATGTACGTCGTAGTTTTGCAGAAACGCCTTACGTTTCGTGCGCATCGTCCCGTGATAAAGGAACGTTATCAAACCTCCACGCTCGTGTCATATTGACGGGAGCGGTCGCTTTATCTTCTCCTACACACTGCTTTATCCCCCACAGCTGAGAGGAGCGGGAACGTCGGCGTAATTCACGTGGTGTCGACCGAAGAGGATGTCCAATTCATCCTGGATGATGACAGCGGCATCAAATATGTCGCTGCTCTTCGCTCGGATTTCTTCAACATGTAAGTTGCGTGGCGGCGACGCTTATTTGCTGTGCGATCGCAGCGTCGTGATCTATTCAATTTTCGCAGAGCATTTATACTGACCCCCGTAACCTACTTTCGTTTTACGTTCTCAGGGGTAACATGACAAAGCTCCAAGACTCCGGCCGAGTTACCGGTGTGATTGTGCTAAGAAGCGGGCAAAACCTCCCAAGTGAAGGGTTTTCGCCGGACAGCACGTGTCCAAATGATGGCTTTGGTGAGTTTAGTGGCAAGCCTTATAGTAGTCTGTGTGCTGTTAATATTGTTCTTGTGCAGCATCCTGAAGAAAAGAAAGATAGACTTCGCGTATTCTATAACATTACAGAAACAGTGGCGAGGAAAAATGCACCAAGGCCTGACGACAGAGGCTCCTGCTTTGTTCATAGGTTAGGCAGCAGTGAGCAGATTATGCACACAATAAAAGTACATTGAACATTATCACCTTACAACATTGAATATACAAAAAAAAACTGCAGTGATATGCAGAAGTGACACATAAATACAAGAGTCGAACACATTGTATGAGATTTGGGTTACTGTCAAACATAGGCTGCATACAAGCACACCAATTCTCATTACATAAAGAATATTGGAACACTAAGCAAGGATAAATGAATATTGACAGAACAAAATGACAAATGAAAAACAGTAGCAGATTTCCGGTCATCAACACGGCTCTAAAGGTAATGCAAAATGGCTTTGACAGTGGGTAATGAATGTTGTACAACTTCAGTAACGGCACACCTTGAGTACATTTGTGCAACTGAAAAATAGTCAGCTGTATTCAGTATTGTTTTCAAATAATAATGGACTTGAAACGATTTTCAGTAAGTGTATTGAATTCAGTGAGTGCATTTCAGGAGACAGCATGCGCAGTGCTGGTGACGTCACATGTGCCATGTTCTTGAATCCTGGGTGGCGACATTTGCAAATTGTCAGGACAAATACTTGGCCCAGACTATTTTCTACTGACAACATTGGGGGCCAGAAACCTCCAGTTTTCCATTTTGGCAATCTTTCCTGGAGGCATTGTTCGGACCGCAAAAAGGTCCATTCAGCTATGAACAATTCCACTGGCATGTTGTTATCAAAGTTGTCATCTTAAAAAAATGCCAAACCGTAAATGAATGTAACAAAAAAAAATGTAACAAACTTGCTGTCGAGATTACGCTATATTAAATGAAGTCCAAATGGCCAAGATGTTCTAGTGTATGGCAACAGCCTGACGTCAGGTTGTCTTTCAGGCCTGTACAGAGACCATAACCAGTACTCTAGCTGCAAGAAGGTCTCCTGGAATGCCAAGAATCCGGGGACAGATATGTTTTTTCACTCGCTGGAACTTTCCCATCTTCTTAGTGGATAACGAGACAAGTATTGATATCATCGTCAATAAGGTGAGTCTTTGTTGTACTGTTGAAATACTTCTCCTCGGTGTCTAGCATTCAAGAAGCTTGTTGCAATGGTGCCCTTGACTGTTGTAATCTGTGTCAACATAGTCGGTACTTTGTTCCAAAATTTTTTACCAGAAGTCAGTAACACTGACTTTGGTGCTATTCAACTTCACTAGAAGGTCACTTCATTAGAGAAGCTACTGCACAGCTAGGAATTCTCAACTTTGCAGTCATAATCGGTAGTAAAAAAAAAAGAATCACTTGCACTGTAGTTAGTAATGTTGTCAGCTGCTTTGGAAATGGTTGTTTGGTGTATTTGAGGAGTTCAATGTCCCAGAGAAACTCAGACTACGAAAGGTACCATTGCAGAGGGCTCCAGATGTTGAACTTTGTAAGGATTAGCTTATTTTGTGACTGGCTTATAGAATATTAAGGCAACTTCTGGATGTGAACGACGAAGCAGCTCTAGAAAAAAATGAAAACAGGAAGAAAGTAGCGTCTTTGCGTCCTCTTTTGTTCGTTTTGTTCTAGCACTTTCATCACTCAAATTCAGTATGTAGCAGTTTATGATACTAATAACCCCCTGAGTATTTTTTTATATCTTTGTTAAAACACCTTCTTCAACCGTCCGCCTTATTTCATCATTTGCGACGTGATCCACCAGAGGTGGCTGTGGTTGTTTGTCAGGTTGAGTATGTAGGTGTACGAAACTATGGTCTTTTAAAAGAAAGTTTGTATTCCCAATGACATCGATATGCTGATCATGACCATGTGGGCATTGTGGCTCAACACTTGAACTTGCCGTTAATTCATCTGCCTTTGTTCCAGTGTTTCAACGAGCACAACCTGCCCGACAAAGGCTCGCACGAGCGCAAATGGCCCCTTTGTGCAGCCCAGTTGAGAAGCAGGATGAGCGCTGCCAAAGACAGCGTGACCTGCATCAGGCGGAGTGAGAACTTGGTCACCATGAACCCTCGTGAGTGGTCTCATCCCTCTCTGTGCTTACTCCTGGCTCGTTATTTTTGTAACACGGGTTAGAGAGCTTTAGAACAGCGCAATACACAGCTTTGTGTTTGCATTGCACATATGCCGTACGCTCACCTCTTGCGGGCTTCATAGAGCGGTGAATGCTGCCGCTATGCCCGTAATGCCCACAAGCTTTGCGGACGGTATTATAAACCTCTGTTGTTGGCGGGCTAGTTGGTACATACTGAACCTGAGACAGTCTGCTAGATGACACCAAAATTTGCAACAATAAGTGTTTGTGTGCTTGTAACTTTTTGTCCCGTCTATTCACACTGTCTTATGTTCATTATTTTTCTATCTATCGTTTATTACTTTCTATCCAGCGTTCACAGCTATACTACTGCATGGAGTCTTGCATTAGTAGACTGTCTTCCTGAATTGCAACAAACCTTGCCTGAATTATCAAAACACTGGTGACTTCTGAAGCATTTCTTTGTCACATGGTAACGATCGTTATGTATCATCCAAACTTTTCTTTATTGTTTAGGCGGCATGTTCAGCCATTCCAGGCCAGAATGTTATGCGTGCTACCGGCACGACATAGCATTATCAGTGAGAAATTAACAAGCACATGAATGACCCTCTATTGCATGAGACAATTATTTGAATAATTATTTTCTCAGCTTTTATCATCAAATTAATGAAGAAAACCTATGCAAAAAAGTTTCCTGGTTATTGGGACTGGTTATTGGGACTGGTTAGAAAAATACAGGTTTATGCAAAATATGGCACGTCATGCAGATGAGTGAGCGTTGTTGCTGCTGTTGTTAAAACAACGAAATATAATTCATTGTGGTGCTCATAGCATAGTGTGTGGAACAATGCAAAACTGATGTTTTCTCTGTTCGGGCATTATTGAATACTTTCTCTTAGTGCATCTCATGGCTGATATTTATGCACAAAATGGCCGGTACACGCTTGCCTGTTCACATTTGCATGACCTCACTATGCTCTTTTGTCCAAATTACTGAGCACTGAATCGTAGTTGGGTGTCAGTTGCCGAGAAAATTGAATGATCTAAACGTTGACGTGTATTCACCAGACCTTGCATATTTTTTCATGTTTCCTCGCTAAAAGATGCAACCGAAAATTTCAGGTACTTTTGCTCGCACTTGACGTCTTTCGTAGAGCATCCTCAAGAGTGACCAAAGCAATCTAAATCCTGCACATTAGAGTTTTGCTGTCAGAGGCTGTTATTTTCTCATGTTTGTACTGTGCAGCACAATGCAGATGGAAGCATATTTTGCATTTTCTCGCTGAAATGCATAGTGTGCCAAATATATAGCACATAATAATTTGCAACTGTATATCGTATTGGATAAAGGAATTGAGTAAACCAACAATGAGCGCCAATCTTAAGGCCACGAGCTCGTGCCATAATCATTTTTTCATGTTCGTGCTGCAAAAAAAATGCAAGAAAAAAATGCTAGGTGTTGTTCGCATGTTAAACAGGTGCATGCATTGTGGAGTCTATTTCGTGTTGTTTTTTGTACTGCACATGGCATGACAGCACTTTTGTTATTTTCAGGTATGCGTAACTACAGAAATTAATGTGACAGTATCACATCTTCAACTGAGTCTCTTGTTTCTGTAATAAAAAATGTTAATTGGTATTTGCCAAATATGAGACTCCATGCAGTAGAGGATTTTAAAATAAAAAAGACGGAAATGCAAGTCAACTATATCATAATTATTTTTGTGTAAGTGAAAAGACCCCCATGATATTGTAGCTGTTTTTGGAGTGTATATATGTGGATTCATGTATATTGTATAGAGCGTATTCAATAGTGGCATTACATTTTCTTTTTATTTCACGAAGTTAAATATGCCCATTAGCACCAATCACTAAATGATTAAGTATCTATTGACCTGGCAGAATGTGCTACAAGAAAGCTAGCTTTATAGTAAAAAAAATAACCTGTACCGAGACTTTTTTGTTCTAGAATAAATTATGATGAGGCTACTCTATCAATTGAAAATGCAAATTCTTGTGTCCTGCAACTGTCACCATATTTTCGTAATGAATACAATGTGCTTGTATGTACTGTATTGAACTTTCGTGCAGTCGTTTGGAAGTTTATATGGTTAACAACAGTAAGTAGGAAAGACAGATGCAGCCCCAGGTTGATGCATTTATATTTTTTTCTTTTGAGGCTTTGTGGTAGGCCTTCTTAATTGCCTTTACTGTCGCAACCAACGTTAGCCTTGACACGATGAACGATAATCTTACTACTATGATCAAGGAGTGTGGAATAGAAGTCAGAGTTACCGTCACTAGTGAGGACAGTGGCAAACTATCTCAGTAGACAAAAAATCTTATTAAGAGACAACAAACCATGAAAACTTCAAATGCATCCGACGAAATAGTGCTAGGGAAGCTTTTGAACTTAATCAATAGGCGTAAGGTAGCTGATGTCGGAAGGTATAACATGGAGAGAATTGAGCAGGCTGTGAAAAGTTGCAGAAGCCAGAAAGCTGCGAAGGCAAACTTGTGCATAGGTGGAAAAGGGATGTATGCATTAAGGAACAAGGAAGGCAATGGCATAATCAATATGGATAGGATAGTCAAGGTGGCGGAGGAGTTCTACATAGAGCTGTACATAAGCCAAAACAACCAGGATGATATCGTTAGGATACAATAATAGTCCAAAGGAATTTGTCATTCTAGCAGTAGCAACGGGGGAAGTGAGCAAAGCCCTAGAAAGGAATGCAAAGAGACAAAGCCGCTGGTGAAGATAAGGTAACAACGAACCCTGAAAGATGGCAGAGAAATTGTGTTAGAAAAACTGGCTGCCTTATATACGAAGTGTCTCTTGATGGGAAGGGTACCAGAACCTTGGAGAAAGCCAGCATCATCTTAATACATAAGAAAGGAGACGTCAAGGACTTGGAAAGTTACAAGTGGATCAGCATACTGTCCGTTCTCTACAAACTACCGTATATACAAAATAATAGCTAATATAAATAGGGCGACATTACAGTTCAATTAAGCAAAGGACTAAGCAGGATTTCATTTAGGCTATTCCACAATAGACCATAATAATACTATTAAACAGGTAATAGAGAAATGTGCAGAATACAACCAACCCCTATACATAGCCTTGATAGATTACGAGAAGGCATTTGACTCAGCCGAGACATCAGCAGTAAGGCAGGCACTGTGGAATCAGGACATCGAAGAAGCCTACATAGACATACTGGAAGAAATCTACAGTGGATCTACATCCACCATTGTTCTCCATAAAGAAAGCGACAGAATCCTAATAAAGAAGAGTGTAAGGCAGAAGACGCAATCTCTCCAATGCTATTCATCCCCTGTGTTTACAGGTGATTTTCAGGAGCCTAGATTGGGAAGAGTTAACGGAGAGTACCTTAGTAACTGCGATTCACTGATCACATTGTCTTGATCAGTAACTCGGGGGCCGAATTACAGCTCATGAATACTGAACTGGGCTCTAAAAGCAGAAAAGTGCACAAAACTATAGTAATGTACTACAGTCTTGACAGAAAACATCACTTTGCGGTAGGTCGAGAGACGCTTGAACTTCTGAAGGAATATCTCTACTTAGGACAGATAGTAACCGTGGAGCCAAAACTTGAGAGTGAAATAACTAGAAGAATAAGGATGGGGTGGATCACATTTGGCAAGCATTCTCAAATAATGAATGGTAATCTGCCAGTAACCCTCAAGAGGAATGTATGTAACAGCCGCATCCTGCCAGTACTTACCTACAGATCAGAAACCTGAAGGCTTACAAAGAGGGTTTAGTTTAAATTGAGGACGACGCAGCGAGCGATGGAAAGAAAAATGGTAGGTGTAACCTTAAGAAACAAGAAGAGAGCAGAATGGATTAGGGAACAAACGGGGGTTAAGAATATCATAATTGAAATCAAGAAGAGGAAATGGACATGGGCCGGGCACGTAGCACGTAGGCAAGATAAGCGCTGGTCATTAAGGATAACCGACCGGATTCCCAGAGAAGGCAAACGCACGAAGGTGAGACAGAAAGATAGGTGGGCCGATGAGAATAAAACGTTCACAGGTATAACGTGGCAACAGAAAGTACAAGACCGGATTGATTGGCGAATCATGTGAGAGGCCTTTGCCCTGCAGTGGCCATAGTCAGGCTGATGATGGTGACTGTCATGACAGGGCAAATAACAATGGTGGTTACTTCCTTCCAGATAGCTAGTCAAATGGAAAGTAACTTAATTTGTATTTGAACACTAAGTGCTATGGTGCCACCTAGTATATAGTACATAGAAAAATCAGAGCACCTTCACAGCAAGAGCAATTGCTCTCATTAGGATTGGACAGGTAATCAAGGTAGCAATGGCAAAATGTCTCTAATACTTTCTCTTCAACGAGAACTTAGCCAAGCAAACTACTTGTATTTTACTGTTGCATCGAAACACCAGTAACATGGCTGAGTTTGAATTCGGACTCAGTGCCACTATGTATACATGCCATGCGATGCCATCACGCCGAGTCTGAAACTTGACTAGCATATGTAACCCACCGAGTTCTCCGTAGCAAGTGCATATTTTGGTGCCTATACACTGAATCAGAATGCATAGGCAAAAATGAAAACAACCCTTTGGGGCGGGCATGTGATTATTCAACCCAAGACAGTGCCTTGCATTTTCTCATCTCAGTCTCTATTTCTCTATACAGTGCGCTACTGCGATCCTCTCACAGATAGAAATGTCATCTCTACACTCTACGCCACAACCACTGAAAAGGCTGTGAGCAACCGTTCTGTGGTGGTCGTGGGTGCAAGGGTAAGAAAATCATGCACACCCTCTTCCAAACAGGTTGTGCGCGTCATAAATGTTACTTGTCTCGCATTAAAATGGCAGGCCACTCGCTGATAAATGTTATCGAAACTAATCATAAGGTGACCTGTTATTGGAACTCTTGGTGAAGTTTCTTGATGGTAAACTATTGTGGCCTTATTTCAGGCTTACTTATATACCTTGCTTTTGACATTTTGAAATTAATACGCTGCAAGGCTTTGAAGGAACACTTAAGGAGTTAAACAATTTTTGTACGTGTTATTAAAGTACAATTTCCCAATCCTCAAAACACCACCTTTAACCTGACACAACACTTTGGAAGCAAGATAACGAGCAAAAAGATTCGAGTAGAGCATCACCTTGAGATTTCCCGCCCCTAACACAGTGACGTCACAAATTTTGACAGCATCTACTGTGCCATACGTAGCTCCTGATCGATAAAAATGAAGTACCTTGTCATCTGTGGGTGCCATAGCCCTAACATACGAAGTTTCGGAAATTTTAATTTAGCCAAGCAAACGAGAGAGAAGAAAAAGCCTCCTTTCTTCCCACATTAAGTATTGACCATGAAAGGGGCTCTTTGCAGGGTTTGCATGTATCCTACAGCAGATCGTTTTTTTTTTTTTCCACCATACTCTTCTTGCAGCTTGACACATTCTCGATGTTTGATGGCCTCGCACCCGGCGCTGACTCGTCAGTCTCCGGCTTCGTCACGTTGCTCATAGCAGCCCAGATGCTTAACCAGCTGAAGGTGGCCCAGAAACCAGAGTTTGAGAAGAATAATGTCCTCTTTGTCATGTTTAACGGAGTAAGTACTTTGACAGCCACTGCGGCCAATTTCTAATGAATCAAACTAAAGGCAATCGGTCAATGAAAACCATTTTTTGTTAACACAACCTGCTGAATCCAAAAGAAAGTGTACTATAAAGTGTTGTTTCTACTTTTTGACAGATTTGTAGTAAAGCTGAATCTCAATTAAACAAAGTCATTGAGACCTACAAACTATGTCGTTATATCAGGAACTTCTTAAAGTCAGAAGAATGACGTATTCATTGGCAAGTGAAAAAACGCTGATGATTTTCGCCTACGCACGCTTCGTCAGCAGCGGGAGAACACCATTCTCGTATCTGGCCAGTGATATCAAAGCGTCAACACCACCCTCGTGTGCCCTAGCAAACTGTTTAAGCAGGTTAATGGTGCCCGTCACCTGGCTCGGTGTGGGCACAAAACCTTCAACAGCATCCATATAATTCGCATCTTCAGACTCCCTTTTCCGAGCAAGCGTCTTTTTGGCAGCATTTGATGAAACCGGCCACTTTCATCAATGTCTTAGACATCTCGCACGGAGTACCTCCTCAGGATCTCAGAGACGTTCTCTAACAACCACTTGTCAGCTCCTTGGTTGTTCACACTGGACGACCCCCCTTTCGACGCTTGGCCAGCAATCCTGTGGTGCCCTTTCGAACACGAGAGCAAGCTGAGGTGCTGGCAGCACATTGCCAGACATTCTAGATGCCGTAAACTTAGAAAAACATGTTTTTCTGTGCATTTTCTTTGCAAAATGATTCGTTGAATTGAGCTTCACAGCAAAGTTTCTTTAAATATTTGGAGTTCATAAAAGCATTAAGCCTATGGGCGAGTGCAGAGAGAGTCCGAAGTTGTGCATTAAATTGGGAAATTCATAAAACCGGGTTTCATAAAATCAAGCTTTAACTGTAGTTAATGAGGTAAAGTAAGATGAAAGTGAATGAAAACAAGAACAACTCCTTGTCAGTGGTTACCACACCCTGTAACCTTCTGTCCCGTCGAACTAGAAATTGTGCCACACAAATTGAGCAACCTCCTAGTTCCGACTCCTTCATACATGACTGGTCCAATAAATATGAAGAGAATACATGGGCAGCAAACACCAATTATGATAATGCTTGAACACCAGGCACACGCCGCAAGCCATACAAGGTCATGTAAAATACTAAAGTGCCTTTTTGTACCTCCTCTTGACATAAGAATAATACAAGGAACACTGGGGAAGGTGCTCTTGCTCAGAAGTGCTGTGAAATTATGACTGGGGCCTAAGAAATGTTGCCCGATTTGTTCTGATTACTTTCATAGCTGTCAAATGAGGATTAGTGGTATCCAAAAAGCTAGTCCTAGACATTCTCTATTCAAGCCTTTTCGAAGTTTATGTGCCACGACGCTAATGTCAGAGGTCGCCAAAGAGAATTTCGAAACTTATTACTGGGTCTAAAACATGCGGTGACTGAAAGAGCTCATGGACACGTGCATACTGTCTGTACCACAATCTGCTTCTGAGCAAGAAGTGACACCTTTCATCGAAATCCTATACATTGCAAGGAGCCCATCGTCCCTCGGTAGTTGTGAGCAACACATCGCTTGCTTGGCTCATGCTGTTGCTGTTGGGCCACTTGCTGCAGTGTGCACATTATTAAGAACAAGAGTCTGTTTTTGTTGTCTTCAGCATAGTTCTGTATGCTTCGCTCAATGCTTCATGGTTCTCTATTTCAGGAAGCCTTCGATTACATTGGCTCTAGTCGAATTGTGTACGACATGGAGAAGGGCCAGTTCCCCCTCGTCGGACGGCCAGCATCAGCCAAGGCGCAGCCGGGGAATCTAGCCCTGCAGCACATCTCTCACTTTGTAGAGCTTAGCCAAGTGGCACCACTTGGAAATTCGAGCACTGTTTACTTACACACCGATCCTGTCTCGACAGCTTCTGCTGAAGTCAACCGGACGGTGCGTGTTACTTTCTTAATGGCTGTTTACTAGGCGTGTGGATATCAAAATGGTTCAACTCCGAAATAGATTTGATGCTGAAGTCAATTCGTAGACAAAATCTTGCTTCTCAATTACGTAGGGGTACTGTGTAATAAGTGGCTCAAAAAGTCTATAATGTTGTTAAAGGTGTTGAAGAACTGAAATGTGTTGAAGAAATGTTTTAGTGTCAATGACTGAGATGCAATCCTCGCTACCTTCAGCTTCGAAGAGGTGGCCAAGCGACCCAATTATAATTGAGCTGAGCACCATTAAAATTCATGATGAATAAACTGGCAGCAATTATAAAAGTTATAAAAAGCTTGTGCAAATAGTGAATTTCAGGTTCGAAGCGAATAGTGATTTTGGTCAAATAATTTCGAATCGAATTCGAATAGCATGTATATCATATATTATAAAGAAAATGAGCATATTTGTTATGACCTAGCAAGCCTGCACAATATTTTTTAAAATTGAGTCAAGGCCTGTGTAAATACAATTTTTTTTTTTCATCAAATGAAGGGCAACAACTTCGAATAGTAGCAGAATTCGACTTTCGCTAGAATGCAAGCAACAACCTGTAATATATGCTACTTTTTAAAACTTGCTATACTTAGAGCATACAAGTAGGCACATCAAGCTTTTAAACTTATTAACCTTGAAGTGAGGCTTCGCGGCAGCGCGGATTTCCCCTGAATATGTGTTTCCACAACTTAGCACCGCTCCACTGCAGTGAAACCACAGGTGCAGATTAATATGTATTCGTTTGTTTTGAATAATTCGAAATTTTCAATATTTTAAATTTGATTTGAAGCGAATTTGAATACTGCATTATCTGTTCGAATATTCGAAGCATTCGAATATTTCGCTCAAGCCTAGTTATTATGAATGATGATGTGCAGGTGTATGAAAGGGGAGTTACGTATCATTAGATAATTAGGCATAAGTTAGCAGGCATTATTCTTAGATAATTAGGCATAAGTTAGCAGGCATTATTTTTGGTTGGAGTGGACACCCGTCAGTATGATTCAAAGTGCTAAAGTATAAACAAGAACTGAACCCCTTTGTAAGAGACATGAACCGGGGAGCAGTTCTTGTCTTTCACATGAGGTGTCTCTCATAGACAGGGTATTAGATATGCATTTTGTTATCAACCCCTATTTCAGTGTAGGCACACTGGTGTCTCTCATACCTATTTGTCTGTTACATCAGTGTCTCTTATAACGGGGTTTAATTGTATAAGTAAGACTGATCAGTCCCTAGTTTCTGGGCTCTTGTTTCTTCTCAAGTGACTAGATTTAATTTGCAGTGTGCCAGCCTGTTCTAAAGCCCTGGTGTTTTCATAATTGTCAGGATCAGGAAATGAGTATTATGCACCTGCGTGCATAATGCATAACTGTCTCGAAACTTCCATGAACATAAGAAATTCAGGACCTTCCACCTGAACTTCAAGTATGATTCATCAAGTTTTATAGAAAAAGGTGAATTATTCAAATAGACATATTGTGAAGGCGTCACATTCTGCACACTGGCCGATAAACATGCCAGGTTTGCAGGTAACGTGATGGTGAGTGTGTGTTTTCTATGTCCAGGTGAACAACCTGGTTGAGCAGATCATGAAAGCAGCCCAAGCCCAACCTCTGGAGCTCAGTGTAGAAGCATCGCCTCACGAGCAGCCATTACCTCCGTCATCAGTACAGCGCTTCTTGAAGAAGGACAAGAACATTGCCACTGTGGTCATCTCCAACCACGACAAGCAGTTCCTGAACAGGTACTTGTGCTCATATTCACTGACCGGCCACAATGACACGACTGTGGCAGTTCACTGCTTAGCACATAAATGGGGGTGCAGTTGACCACTTGCGGTAAAGCTTCTGCGCATGTGCATTAACGGTGCAACTAGCGCCCTCTTCAGGTGTCATTGGTTTTGGTTGAAAAACATGAGCCCGGTTGGCCGCCGGTCGTACGTTCGTGTGTCGTGGTCGAGTGACCTTGCTTTAACAGTTTGTGCAAACATACCAGCGCTTTGTGTGAACTACCGTGAAAGGAGCATGAAAAGCTGGGCCGGTTGGTTCATTTTAGATGCAAGAAAAACCATTGGAAACTTCTGGCGATGCTGTATGATTGAATGAGCCTTCTTCTTTGTCCTTGTCTTCTTCACTGGTTTTTCTTGCATCTAAACCTAGGAAAGAGCACAAATTTCTACAGGTTCACGTCTGCGGGGCTACGTGCTGAAAAGAGAAATGCTGGGTTGCTTGGATAGTGGCTGCGAGATTACATCATTTTTGCGGCTTGCTGTAAGGGCTGAACCAACATTCTCGAATCTGTGTATTGTAGCACGGCGGCACACATTCTCGCGTATATCAATGCTTCTAAAGGACCGCAAAATACTGCCGTTAGTATGCGAGGATGGGCTCTTACGTATCTGCAGGAGCTATGACTGAGATGGAAGCACGGGTAATTTAATAATCACAACAGTGAAAGCTGCATCTGCAGCTATTCTATGTAGTAGAAAAAACTCCTGTCAAATGAAAAAAGCATAATACAGTAGACTCTCACTAAACGAAACCTGAAGGGACCAGGAAAATGTGTTTCATTTAACAGGAGTTCCGTTTATTGAGAGATGAACATGGGTGCAGAATGCAAGCACGAAACCAAGCATTGCTGAGGCGACAGTTCCATTTAAGCAATAGTTCCGTGTACCAGATTTCCGTTTACTGAGAGTCTACTTGTTTGCGTATTAGGAAAGTGCCTACTCCCAATACTGTTGTACTTGCAAGCACATACACACACATACATTTACATCATCATCAGATTGTTCAGAGATTTCAACTATATATGCCTATATAAAAAATTACCTCACCCAGTAACACAGTCGCAGTGCCAATGATGTCAACGATGCAACCTGGAGTAATAACGAACCCTGTCGTTGTCACATAATCACCAGACTTCATAAATGGTGCACACACCTTAGTTCTTCGTGCGATGTTCGAAGGTTCAACTTATAGTGTTTTTCCTTGAACGAGCAGTCGTGATGAGTCTGGCAAACACTCAAGGTATCACAGTGCAGGCATCGCCACACTCAATTGTTGCTTAGTCTGCAATGTGAAAAATCCTCACTCCACCCCGATTCCACAACTATGTAAGGAATATTTTCCTCCTGTAGCATGCTCTTTCACTAATGGCATGCATTTTCACCATTAAACAGGAAAACATGCCCCGCCGCGGTGGTCTAGTGGCTAAGGTACTCCACTGCTGACCCGCAGGGCGCGGGTTCAAATCCCGGCTGCGGCGGCTGCATTTCCGATTGAGGCAGAAATGTTGTAGGCCAGTGTGCTCAGATTTGGGTGCACGTTAAAGAACCCCAGGTGGTCTAAATTTCTGGAGCCCTCCACTACGGCGTCTCTCATAATCATATAGTGGTTTTGGGACGTTAAACCCCACATATCAATCAAACAGGAAAACAAGTGCATGTGAACAGCTTAACGCTGCCTTGTACACGTTAATCAGCCAATGCATTTCCAACCAAAAGCACGAGCAAAGTTTTCCTGTTTACACAACTGGTGGCGCTCACTTTTCCGCAAATGGTCAATTTCTGGAAAAATTGGGCCCTTCATGCATGCATGAAAAGGCCAACTTTCCCACCTAGTGTTTGGCATTACCTTCATGTGTCTTCAAGGCATGAACCCAATTCCAATTAGGCTGCCCCAAAGTCAGGAAAGGCGTGCAATGCTACGTTAACAATGGCCGGAAAGACCAGCGTGAAATCATGCACCAGGACCTTCAGGTGTAATGGCTAGGTTGTGCTAGTTTGGTTCAAACTAGCTAGCTCGCTCACATCTAATAACAAAAAATAAAAAATAGAAAATTGCATTGTAGACTTAACCAAACAGCTTTTGTAAATTTCTCTTCCATGAAAAAGAACCTGTTCATGCAAAAACACAGTAACAGAACTGGTGATGTCACAAACAAATGCATCTGCTACAGGTTGCACGAAATTGTCTTACAGCGGGGATCTGGTACACTGTCATTCATATAGTTGTGGTCTTTTTGGCTAAGAACATACAGATTAGTGCAAATAGTGATTTTAAATATGAATCAACTAGTTCAAGTGAATCTAATTAATGTCCAGACAACACTGCTCTTGCGTCAGTCTAATAAATGTGCAGTTTCAAGATCCATCACATAGCCACTGTAATAGCAAAAGAGCTTTGGTTCAAAATAGCAGCATGAAAGTGAGGTAACAACTTGAATTCTGGCGCTGTGGTTCATTGTGACTGTGTTTTTTACTCTATACCACCATGCAAACGCATCATGTCCAGAAAGTTGTGAAATGTCTGGTACAGAATCTCAAAATTTGAGTTGCTACTGCACATTGATTCAACAGAAGCTTCATAAGCTGGCTTTATTGCAGAACACCCCTATAATTTTATGGAGTTCTTATGAGTGAAGCAGATAACTGTGAGCAGATAATAAAAGTTGAGTGATCAGCAACCTTAAATGGTCCTGCAGAACTACACTGCGGTAAAAATACCTGTCGATCGCAATCACTATCGCTGACAATCTATCACAGCTTTTCATCTTGTTCTTTTTTTTTTCTCTTGAAGTTTTGGAATCATGACATGATACCTTAAGTGTTCTACAAACGCAAACATCATTTATCTTGCCGATCGTGATCACTTGAAAGATTAGCAAGAAACTGTCGTGTTTATTGCAGCTAGTTCTACATCTACTCATGGTTGTGACTTGCCTCGGGGTAATCATAACACCAAATCAGGCGCAGATGCAAGGGATCCAAGGAGCTGAATGGCTATGGTCATTGGCTGTTTTGTTTACTAAGCTTGGACGTTGAAAAGTGGCGAGAATCTGTGGCATCTTTTTTCATCTGCTCGGTTCTTCGTGTATGATCACAGGTACTACAACAGCTACCTCGACAGCTGGGAAAACCTGAACTCTACAGGATTGGACTTGCAGGCAGTGGCCATACACTTGACCAAACTGGCTGCAGCTGTGGCTTCTGCTGTCTTCAAGGTCACCACAGGCGAAGATGCCAAGGGCCTCGCCTTGGACAAGTTCAGAGTGGGTATTGCATTGAACACTCAACCTTGATTGTGGGAATGGAATCAAACTTCAATATAGCCAGTTATTTAGTATAAAGTAAGAAAGTAAACACAAAGTTTGGTTGGCAACTCTTGCTCAACATATGATGAATCGGTGGTTCTTACTGCTTTGTTCTCATTACTCTTATGCAGACGATGGAACTTCTGGAGTGTTACATTCTGAACGCTTCATGTGCCCTGTTTGGAGAAGTGACAAACAAAGCCTCTGTGTCAGCACTGAGTGAGTCTTATCCTCTTCCGTTACTCTGCTTTGACAACTGACATGTTGCGGTCTGACAACTTAGCAGATACAGTGGACTCCCATTAAACGAAACTGAGTTAAACGAAAATGCCTTATTAATGGAATTAAATAACCCTTCTCTCTATTTGCGTCCCCCAGGAAGAGTCTCATCAAGAACCAATCACCCACACGTAATTATGCCCTACACACCGAGAATTGACACATTTAAAAACACTTTTCTTGTCAGAACGATTGTCGACTGGAACTGTCTTGCCGCCGATTTTTTTGAGAATGTAGACACAGTTGAATCTTTTGTTGGTAAATTAGAATTGTCATTGTATGATGTAGTTCCCACTCTGTAACAGCCCGACAGGGCTTACAGTATTGTGAATAAATAAATAAATAAATAAAATAGGATCATTTAGCTGGATTTATAGTTTTGGCACAGTAAAAATTTTTTGGTTAATCAAAACACTACTTATTGGTCACCTGCAGTTAAACGGCACAAACGCTAAACACAACACAGACTTGCCCATAACAAAAGTAGTCTCACAACCATGGAATGTATAGCCAATGCCATAGCCAATCCAGTGGCTATACTGGCTTGTGCTACAGCTGGCGGCAGCAGGAGCTGTTAGCTGCGTCAGGCCTACTTGTGTCACTACATATGGATATTTCGGCACGGTGGAGAGCATGAAGAAGCAGCCTCATCAGGCACTCTCGCTGGAAAAGAAGCTCGAAATTCTTAACGAGCTTGACCGAAGCGGCCTGACAAAAACAAAGGTGGCGAAAATGTTCAACATCCCGAAGTCCATGCTGTCGCAGATCCTGAAGAACAAAGAGACAATCGAAGGAGCTGCCAAGAATGGAATCTTCATCTCTAAGCGGATGCGGATGACACCTTACGAAGAATTTGAAGAAGTTCTTTTCGTTTAATTCAAATGTGCACAGAGTTCGAATTTTCCAATAAGTGGACCCATTCTGGCGCAGAAGGCGCGCGAGATTGCCCTGCATGTGAGTGTTGAGAACTTCTTAAGTGACGGATGGCTTAGTCGCTTCAAGAAATGCCACGGCCTTGTTTTCAAGGCAATCTCAGGTAAGAGTGCCACAGTGAATGGGTACATTTGCATTGATTGGCAACAGAGGCGGCTTCAGGAAATTCGGAAAAATATGAGCTGCGAGACGTCTTCAACGTCGATGAAATGGGCCTTTTTTATAAGGTGCTTTTGTCAAAGACTCTCGCCTTCAAAGGTGAAGCCTGCAGTGGTGGAAAACACAGTAAAGATCGCATTACCGTGCTGGTGGGTGCCAACATGGCAGGTGATGAGAAGTTGAAGCTTTTAGTTATAGGAAAGTCTGAGCACCCACGTTGTTTCAAGAGCGTTCGACACCTTCCCGTTACGTACAAAGCTAACGGTAGAACCAGGATGATTACGGTGATTTTCGAAAACTGGTTATGGGAGGAAGATGCAAGATTTACAAGGCACAGCAGGAAGGTTGTCTTAATCATGGATAATTATCCTGCCCATGGTCAGGTTGATGAACTCAAATTCAACAGCCTCGAGTTCTTGCCTGCCAATGTCATTGCAGTGATCCAGCCAAAGGATCAAGTGGTAATACAGAACGTTAAATTTCGTTACCACAGACAGCTGCTCCACCAAATGCTGCTTTGTGCTGACACTGGCAAGTGCTACAATGTAGATTTGTTGGCTGTGATTCATATTTTGGCCCACGCCTGGGAGCAAGTACAGGCAACAACCATACAGAGGTGCTGCCATCATGCAGGCTTTCAAGCTTATGAACCAGTACCACATGACGAGGAAAGCCCGGCTGATGCTGACGCTGAGGCAGTATTTAATCAGCTTGTGCCTTTTGCCCCTTTCACACGACAGTACTATGAGACGATTGATGAAAGCGTTCAAACCTGTCGCGAGGAGACGCTTGAGGAACTGATTGCCGAAGTGCAAGCTGACGATCAACCTTCCTCCAGCAATGAGTGTGATGACATCATTGCCAGTGCAGTGGTGCCACTAGACAGTGCAGCTAAGGAGGCTGTTGAACTTATGCAGCGCTATTTTGAGCGTGAGTGTTATCCTGAATTTCTGTTTAGCTTGTCAGGCATGGGTGCTTACTTTGTGAAGCAGCAGTGCAAGCATGCCAAGCAAACCACTCTTCACTCCTTTTTTTCTCCCGCTCGTCCTAATAAGTAAGCTAGGGTTGATACAAGCGAAATAAAAGTTTTTGGTTCATGAAATATGTGTACCTTGCTTAAATGAAACTTCTGATAAATGGAACAGTTTACTGGATCCCCTTCGAGTTCTATTTAAGAGGAGTCCACTGTAATGTGTGGTGGTGCGCTAAACACGAGGATACACATTAGCTTCGTTGACCACAATGACCGCATTGCTGGTCTAGTGACAGTGGTCACAGACCATGCCTGCTCGTTATACGGGCTCAAATCTCTTTTTTTTTTCTGTTTTTGTTTTTTTCACTCCTTTTCTTTCCCGGTGATCTGTGTTTTCTTGTGGGCTGCAGTTACTTTTCCTAGCAGTATCCACCATGTCTGCCACTGCTTCACACTGGCTGAGGCAAGTTGCAGTGCCACTGGCACGTTAAGTCCTGGACAGTTTTCGTGGGCACCTAGTAGACCGCGTACGAGATGAGCTAAAGGAGCTGCGCACAGATCTGGCAGTGATTCCGGGCGGCCTCACATCGATACTGCAGCCTTTGGACGTGTCCTTGAATAAACCTTTCACCCAAGATCTCTGAAGCCATTGGTTGGGACATCGCGTCTCGTGCTCTGATTGGGGGCTGTCTGTACACCTATGTTCTCTTAGCCAAAGAATCAGCGTGACCAAGAGAATAAATCACAAGGTTTAGCACTCCCATAAGCGTGCTCATGCCGCAAAGACCAAACCTGGTTACGTCGATTGAAGGGATGTTACAGGCAGACATTGAAGCACTACAAAATATAAACATTACCCTTCCAGAGTCTTTGCATCATATGATTTTTATCAGGAGACTACTTGATTTCACATAGAATCATGACTCTACTAAACTACTACTAAATCAACTACTAAAGAACTGCACAGTTCTTTAGTAGTTGAAATTGCTTGTGGTTGATATTGTGGCATAATCGTTATACTAAACTTAGAATAATACAGCTAATTTTTTTCTTCAACATTTCGTTTTGGGTGAGTCGGTTCAATGTAGTGATGGTGAGTAGCAGTGCGAACATACACCCACAAGACAGACAGACAGACAGTTCCTCCGTGTATGTCTTGTGGATATGTGTTCGCATTGTTAGCTGATTTTTTTCTTCTGCATTCTTTAAGAGAAGGTTTTATGATTTACAGACTTTGGTGGCGATGGTAGTTTTTGTTCACGTAAAATCTGGCACTAGCAAGCGTACAGAGATGTGGGTGTACATACGTACTCACAGATTGAAGTAGGACTATGGAAGGCTAAGTAACGCACATACTTTAGTTTGCACTTCACATCGTATCGATGCAATTTCATCTCTGACGTGTAGATCGGAGCAAACACTATATTTAGGGACCAAATTTGTCGTGACATGACATGGTTATCTCAAGCAATTGTGCACACCATTCATCATTCGAAAAAAAAAAAAACAGAATTGTTCCTACGACGTTTGAATCTGTTAGTACTGCAAAAAAATGCGGGCCCTGAAGGTGTGCCATTCACATGTGAATTGATATGCCTCGTTTTCCAATAATTGATCATCTCTCAATCATAAGCATGTCGGCAATCATCCGTTTCCAATATGCTAGTCTGACGCCTTATAGAGGTCACATGTCATTTCGCAATAAAACAGTTTGTTGTTGCATTTCATCATTGTTACCTCTAGCAACAGAAATATCATGCTGCTAAGCGCGTGTGTGAAGGTTCGATTCCCGGCTCCGAGGAAGGAAAAAGCTGGGAGGGAGCACTGCGCATTGCAATCAGAAGAATATAATCTTGGTGTAACAAACGTCAGGGGACTGGGGCAATTTGTTCGTTATTTTGAAAGGTCGTTATAGTGAAAGCCCAAAAATTAACCATAAATATTTGTTTTCCACTGACCGAAACGACTTACCTTTACAACTGTGGTTCCTTGAACTAGTTCTTGTTGATAAAAAACAAATCTGCAAGTGAACACCAAAAAAATGCACGTTTCCTTAAAGAAGCCTGTGATGTTTTTTTTTTTCGATGCGTGCAGGACAAACTTTGCAGCGCAAAGGCCTTCAGCTCATCCACATTCTCGACTTTCTTCTTAGCAAAAACTGTTTTCGCTTCTTCGTCGCGAGCAGAGATGAACTCATTGTAGTAGCATTGCAGCGCAAACGCCGACTTGCTTTGTGGAAACGATAAGTAATCACTGACAAGATGCACACGACTGACAAGGCCTCTTTAGAGAGCACCTATACCCCTTTGGCCTCCTAGATCATATGTAGAAGTGACAAAGATGTAGAAGTGACAAAACTCGAAGCGTCATGGCTGTCATCGCCTCTTCCGAAGAGAAGAGCTAAAAAAATCACAGCATATCCACGAAGTGAATGGTGACTAGTGGGCGAAGCTCCGGGGGATCATTAACCATGAATTCCCCCCTACATTGCCGGCGCTGCCGTTTCACTGCAGCTGCCGGAGCCCTCGCCAACTCTGGATCAGCTGGCCGACGTTTTCGTGCTGCTGCAGCTTCGCGAGCTCTCAGCTCCGGGTCGGCTTGCTAGCGCTGTCGTTTCACTGCAGCTTCGCGAGCCCACAAGTCTGGATCTGCTTGTGCTGCAGCCGCTCTGCGAGCTCGAAACTATGGACTGCGTTGTTGCACTGCACAGTCCGTCACTGCCGCTGTCAAAAGAAAAAGAGAGAGCCGCGCCCCTAATGGTCTCCTTTCAAACTGCAGCACCCGCCAACAAGAGCGAGCTCTGGCACGTTCCCGCCTTCTACCAGGCGCTCCATTACCACTGCTGTCGAAAGAGAGAGAGAGAGCCGCACCCCTAGCGGTCTCTTTTCAAACTGCAGCACGTACCAAGAGCGAGCGCTGGCTTCTACCGGGTGCTCCATGACCGCTGCTGTCGAAAGAGAGAGAGAGAGCCACACCCCTAGCGGTCTCCTTTCAAACTGCAGCACATGCCAAGAGCGAGCGCTGGCTTCTACCAAGTGCTCCATGACTGCTGCTGTCGAAAGAGAGAGAGCCGCACCCCTAGTGGTCTCCTTTCAAACTGCAGCACATGCCAAGAGCGAGCGCTGGCTTCTACCAAGTGCTCCATGACCGCTGCTGTCGAAAGAGAGAGAGAGAGCCGCACCCCTAGCGGTCTCCTTTAAACTGCCGCACGTACCAAGAGCGAGCGCTGGATTCTACCGGGTGCTCCATGACCGCTGCTGTCGAAAGAGAGAGAGAGAGCCGCACCCCTAGCGGTCTCCTTTCAAACTGCAGCACATGCCAAGAGCGAGCGCTGGCTTCTACCAACTGCTTCATGACCGCTGCTGTCGAAAGAGAAGGAGAGAGCCGCAGCCCTAGCGGTCTCCTTTCAAACTGCAGCACGTGCCAAGAGCGAGTGCTGGCTTCTACCGGGTGCTCCATGACAGCTGTTGTCGAAATAGAGAGAGAGAGCCGCACCCCTAGCGGTCTCCTTTCAAACTGCAGCACGTGCCAAGAGCGAGTGCTGGCTTCTACCGGGTGCTCCATGACAGCTGCTGTCGAAATAGAGAGAGAGAGCCGCACCCCTAGCTGTTTCTTTTCAAACCGCGACACGCGCCAAGAGCGAGCGCTGGCACCGCCCCATCCTCTACTGGGCGATTCCAGTACTAGCATGTTACGCCGACGGACAGGGGACACGGCTCGACCCTAAAAAGGTTCCCCCCTAAAAAGAAAATTCCTCGCATTTCGTTTTCTGTTCCCTCGCTGTCTCAGCTTTTCCACGCCCATGCTTCCTGCTCCACAACTCCCACTCTGCCCTCTGCCTCGCTGACCTTGCCCTCCCGTGTTGCGAGGCTTCTGCACTTATAAACCTGCAGCATCCGCATTTCAATAAAAAAAAATAAAAGAAAGGCGTCCATTCGTTTTTTTTTTTTCCTCAACACTGTCACTCGTATTCCAAAAGCAAGGCGTTCATTCGCTGTCTTGTTTGCTTGGGTACCGCTCCAGTGGTCGCGACGGATTTCAGAACATGACTTCATAGTACTTAGGCATTGTTAATATAACGTGGAACTGAATTAGCACTCGTTATTTTGAAAAGTTAGGTATTCTGAAGGACGTAGTAGTTAAATAATTCTACATTGAAACTATTTGCAGTCGGCGTGGGATTTTTTAAATGAAGTTCAGTAGGGTTGAGAGCTGGGCTAGTTGGTGAGAGTTGGTAGCGAGTGTTGTGTTTTCTTGTCCTCTTCGTCCCCGTGAATTTGCGCTACTACACCATGTGGTAAAATGATTTTTTAAATGTTTGATAATCTGAAAAGTTCATTAAAGTGGTGTTTGTTCTACTGAGATTTTACTGTAGCAGGTCAAATATGCACAATATGAAGCTTTTCTTATCCCCATTCTTCCTGTTGGGAAAGCGCTTTAGAGAGAAAGAAACAGCTTTCATGGAAATGGCAAGCTTCAGCGGAATTATATTTTCTCCCCTAGATGGCAGCTGAGTCTTTGGGTCCTAGTGGCATCTTCGGCTTGCCTGATCACTTGTAGTTGGTCTTAGATGTTTGAGCTAATTAGTGTGGTCTCCCACTGCTGTGCGTTCAAATATTTGATGTTTGGCCTATTCATGGGGTTGGGACAAGTCCAGATAATATAAGAGTTTTGAAAGCATTTTTTTTTTGCTCTCTTTGCCTAGGAAGCAAACCCTTCCCCTTGTACGTAAGTGTGGATCCGAATGGCCGCACAATCAATCCGTCCACTGTCCTGACCCGGCTGGTCATGGCCTACCTCACGGGTGAACACCTCAAGAAGGTCACCAAGGAAAACTGCACTTCACTTGCTGATGCAGACAGGGTGAGAATGGGAGTGTGTTGATGGTACTTTTGTTACCCCTTTTTGTGTATTTGATGCTGAAAGCATTGGAGGAAAACTTGGCACTGATGGGCTTACGCATGCTGTGAGCTAAGTATGCATACGCTCCTCACTAGCATTGCAGTCAGTGTGCCAACATATGTGAGTAGATGTCTGAACTTTGATATTTTTGGCTTTGAACACACTTTTGTTTTTGTGTTTTTATATTATTTTTGTATTACGTTTTTGCTGTCATTGTGACAGCGCCATTCTGAATAAGTCAGAGTGCTAGAGGAGAAAGATGAGCCTGCTCTCTGGGTGTTGGTTGTCACATGTCGAGTTGTGGTTGGAGGGGTGTGTAAAGCTAATTGTGCAAACAGTTTGATGCATCAGCATGATGCAGATGATCTTCCTGCACACCCAGTGTTGGAAATTAAGCCACACTGCCTCTCAGCCAGGCTAGCACGCTCAGTGAATTGCGACGTGGAAGTGCATTGCCTCGCGAGTTTAAAAATTAACTGGTTTTCACTAGCTTTTATTTCCTGCGCTGGATGCTGTTATTGCTGCTCAGGATGGTACCAAATAAGCTCAGTAGACTCGCAGTTAATGGGAATTTGTTAAGTGGTACTGTTGCTTTAAAATTGAACAGGTGTTTCTGACAAGATTGGTTTTATTCTTGCATTCTGCACCCCTGTTTATCTCTCATTGAACAGGCCTCTTGTTAAACGGAACATATTTTACTGGTCTCTTGAGGGTACATTTAATGAGAGTCTACTTATGTCGTTTAGTTCTAAAAATGACAGAAACAATACAGCAGAACCTGTGTACAGTAACAATACAACAGAAGAGAAACAATACAGCAGAACCTGTGTACCACTTCTATATCTTATCATTGGGATTGATGGATGAACCTGGCATTTGAATAGAAGAAAAACTACCACAGTTAAAAGTCAGATAAATGCCCAGAGGTTGTTTCGAATTACGTTTCATGCTCCCGCGCCCTACCATTAGAAAAATTTGAGATAATGGTGGCCACCGACATTAGGCGCACACGAAGCAAATGGGTTTTGTTCTTGCCACTAAGGCTGGTACCACAAGTCACCTTTGGGGTCAGGTGCGTTGATGCCAATCAATTTTGTTCCCATGATCAGTTGAGGAGAAGTTTCAGAATTGAAATACAGTAGACTTACATCAAGTGAAACTTGAAGGGACTTTCAAAATATGTTCCTTTTAACGTCATTTTGTTTACCGAGACATGAACAGAGGTGCTAAATATAATTAAGGAACCGATCATGCCAGAAGCAGTTCAATTTAAGAAGCAGTTTCGGTTTGAGAGATTTATAATTCCTGAGAGTCTGATGTAGTGAAGGTAACTTTATGCTAAGGCTTGTAAAGCACTGACTTCTTTTCTTTTTTTTTTTTTTTTTCAGCTTCACCAGTACAGTTGGATGGATGGCCCAGAAGGGAATGAAACGGGATTGTGTGTGCGATCTACCACGATGATGACGCTGGCACGTTCTCCAGCACACGAACTCAAAGGTTAGTGTTATCTTGTAGTGGAAAATACACTTTCGATTGACAAATCGACAGTGATAGATGCCAATCTTTGATCCTTGGCAGTGAGAAATTTTTTGGCTAGGTTGAGAAGGAGGAAGCTCATTCATTTTTGACGACGATTGCATGGACATTCTAAGCACGTTTTTGCTGTCATTGTGACAGCGCCATTCTGAATAAGTCAGAGTGCTAGAGGAGAAAGATGAGCCTGCTCTCTGGGTGTTGGTTGTCACATGTCGGGTTGTGGTTGGAGGGGTGTGTAAAGCTAATTGTGCAAACAATTTGATCCATCAGCATGATGCACATGATCTTCCTGCACACCGGGTGTTGGAAATCAAGCCACACTGCCTCTCAGCCAGGCTAGCACGCTCACTGAATTGCAACGTGGAAGTGCATGGACTCGCGAGTTTAGAAATTACCTATGGTTTCCACTAGCTTTTATTTCCTCCGTTGGATGCTGTTTTCGCTGCTCAGGATGATACCAAATAAGCTCAGTAGACTCGCAGTTAATGGGGATTTGTTAAATGGCACTGTTGCTTTTAAATTGAACAAGTGTTTCTGACAAGATTGGTTTTATTCTTGCATTCTGCACCCCTATTCATCTCCCAGTGAATGAGGCTCCGATTAAACAGAACGTATCTTCCTGGTCTCTTGAGGGGACACTTAATGAGAGTCTGCTTATGTCGTTTAGTTGTAAAAATGAGAGAAAGTCGAAGCCACCTTCAACTTTTCAGCTTGTGAGGCCACGCATTCCCATGTGCCTAGTCATGTTCAGTGCAACTCTGTGTCCCCCCTCTCAAGCCCAGCTGTGGCATCGTATGCAGTCACGTGCACACATGAATCATATAGGTACTTGGTCTTCTTGGTTGGCATTAGTTTCTGCCGAGACCAGGGCAAAGTGCTACTAGCTTACAAGAGTGAACAAAGGTGCTTCCTGGCATTGTGCGTGCTGCATTTCTGTCCGTCTTTATTTGAAGGTCGTGTAAGACAAGTTTCGGGCATGCGACGTAGCTGAAGTGCCTAAGCGAGTGACAACACAAGGTGCTGTTTGTTTCAAGACAATTGCTCATTCCAGCACTCCTTATCAGATCAGCGTTGTTTCGAGCCAGCTTTGAGTAAGCAAGATATGTTAGTGTTGTCTACATAAAACTTACAGTTGTTTAGTTTGTAAGTGAATATATTGTCATGTGCTAGTGATGGTGCAGAAGGCAACAATCGCACTGGTAAAGACGAAACTCCTACTGGGTGAATCAGTGCCCAGAGAATTTACGTATCAATGTACAGTCGCCGACCGATTTTTCGGACCTGGCAGGGACCGAAAAAAAGTACGAAAAATCGAACAGTTCGAAAAATTCGTTTTCGCCAAAAATCTGAAGTTCATTGCATCAGGCAGGTTTAAAAAAGTCCTTGATGCTGCCTTGCCTCAAACTACGCTTGGAGGCAATTTGGTTTGCCCGTATTTGCGCCAAGGTGACATCGTCGCCATAAACGCTCGACAAAATTGTCACCGCGTTGGCGATCTCTGCCGCCGACGGCTGCGGGCGGTCGTCGTTGTCGTCATCCGAGCCGCTCTCCGGCTCCGGGACAACCTGGCAAAGAATTTCGTCGTCAGTGGCCTCCGCGCACGAAACAATGTCGTCGTCCGCACGAGTGAAGTCTTTAAACGTCATTGTGGCAGGTAGAGAATCCTTCTTTCGCCTCCTCCCCGTGCGATGTGAGGACGATAGTGCTGATGGAAGACGAAAAAACGGCATCCATCACCGCGTCTTTTAAAAAGCAAACACGGCCTCCGAAACTTAAAATATGGCGTGCGCATTCCAATCTCGGAGGCAGGAAAAACATCTGAAGACCAAGCTTAGCCAAGCCGACAGAAAATCCAACATGGCGGCGTTCACAATGGCTTGGGGCGTGGCACAAAACGAGCGATATAGTCCGAAACATCGAACTTTCAGGGGCAAGTTCGCCCGAAAAATCGGTCGAAACAATGCATTAGCTCTATGGGATCCCTGACGGTGCATTTATGAAGTCCGGAATATCCAACAAGTCCGAAATTTTGGAGTCCGGAAAATCGGTCGGCGACTGTACAAGCAATGCACACTGAACGCTGAATACAGCAATCACATTTCTTGGCCTCGGTAATATGATGCAACATTTTTGTCAAAAATGAATCATTTTTGACAAATCGATGATAGAAAATTCCAGCTTTATCGCTGGGGCCCGTACTAGCTCTAGAATAAACTGCAGTAATTCCTCGTTACAGTCAACCTTCGTTATTGGGTACCCACTTTAAGTGTATGAATGGTTAAAATGTAGTTGTGACAAATCCCCGACCAAATTTCATAGAGACTAATGCATTCGCTGACCGCTTAAGCAGTAGTGTGCGGCCTTAGCCTACCGGTTAGTGCATACTAACTGCGTACGGCGATAACATTTTGCGCGAGAAAATTTCACTGCTCCGCTGAACGTTGCAGATGCCACAATGCGCCGTGAATGGTTTTTCATCATGTATATAAGTGTGGAGATCGGCCGATAAGTTATTTCGACTTCCGCGTGATTGCATCAATCAATCAATCAGTTTATTATCATGTCATAAAAGGATGTTACAGGGAGTAAAATATATAGAAGAGGGTCCCAAAGTACAAGACTGCAACGGGACCCAATAGTTACTCACAATGACATTGTGAGTAACTATTGGGCGGAAAAACGAAGGCAAGGTGGCAACCACCGACGAATGCGCTGGTATGACTTATCATCACTTGGCGACACCTGCGCTCACAACTTTGTTCTAAGCTGGTCATATTCCTCGTGCGCCTCGAGTAATACTGTTCCATATCCTCACATTTAGGTAGGGGACCGGAACAAATTGAAAACTGAGCTATATTTCGAGTGAAGGGATTGCTTTATAACTAAGAGTTACTGTAGACTACTCGTGTAGTGATTGTTTTAAAAAGACCATTCTTATCAGAATGGTCTAAAACAATTGAAAAGTTTCCCAAACATCCTGGGGCAAGCTGCAGCGGTTAAATTTTGTGGGTGAAAGCCGATGACATCAAAATAAGTAAATGAATGCGTGTGGCAATGTTTAGAGCCAGTCATACGGTTTGAAGAACAAAAAACCTTACTTTGTCTGATTTTCTCACAATTTGCCATCGTAATCGGTGGTTAACTCTAGCTAAAACTGCAACTTTTTCTTCTTGTTTGCGACTCCACCACATCCCACTGCGTAGACTGGAGCACGCGGGAGTACTCGACGTGGACCGAGAGCGTGTGGGAAGAGGCATCGCTGCAGGTGTTCCTCATGCCCAGCTTGCGGCAAGAGGTGTCTGTTCTCATCGGAGGCATCGCCGTGTTCCTCATCTCCCTGCTCACCGTGCACTGTGTGAACCAGCAGGCCCTGGTGCTGTTCACACCACGCGCACTGGTGGGCATCTAGGGAAACGACACAAATCACATTGCTTTGGCCGACTGGACGAGCCACCAGACAGGCGATGATAGTGGCCGACTGCCACCCCCCGCTGAGGTATAGAGGCATGCAACCACCCAGGGACAGCTGTTAACTATACACCCTCTTCTTGTTTTTGTTCATAAAGTTTGTTAACCGCCCTTCTCTACTTCATAGTTTTTGTGGCGTGGTGCTGTTCTGACTCAGAAGTCATTTTCTGTGAGAGGATTACCTCACGTCACTCTGCATAAGACTGTGAAAACTCTTCAGGGAAGTTGTCATTGTTTTAAACCTTTTCGCGGTAGACATTCTCTTTGTTTATGGGCCTGTTTTTGTTTTTGTGTTCAAAGGAAAGATGCATCGAAGCTTGGATGCAAGACAAACTAGAAGAACAACAAAAGTGCCTGCTAATATTGCTGGGAAAGTCGCGGCCCTGTGTAATCTTCGAATTAAGTCTTTCTCTGTGTTGTCCCCTCTTAGTTCCTCTTTTGTACATGTTTTGTATCAACACTTTTTCAGAACATGAATGCCTATTGACTTTCTTCACTTTTTAACATCACAGCGCTGTTAGCAGCATGTTAGGATTCATTTATGTTCAGCTGATCTGAATAGCTTTGTGTTAGAAAGGAAGTTTTTCTGCAGTTTCTGCTTGCATAAGTCCGGAGCATATGCCAAAAAAGCATATATGTAGTACACAGAGGGTCGAGATGCGTCAAGTTGATGAATAATTCTTGCAGCCAAAGTCACAGTATTACAGCACGGCCATGTGGGATGGTGCAGATTTGACAAGTTGTTCAGTTACTTGCAGTTACAATGCAGTTAAGAAAACGTAATATAACTGTAGCCATTCTGCTATGGGTTATTTAGATAAAAGTGTGTCAGGTCCATGTATTAAATCAAAATTTTATTTTTGTTATCATTGTACTGAGATTCCCAGGAAACTAGCAAACAGTTATTATAGTTGCATGTTAATGAAGAAACTCAAAGCACAAGAAGTAAAGTCTCATATTTTGGGACTTGCTTCGTATTGATTATAAGGCTACGATGATCACTTATACAGGAGAACGTTCAGTGTTCATTAGCCTGCTTGTCTCCTAGATTGCCTATGTTGTTTCGTTCTACACGGACAATATCTAATAAGTTACTAAGTGGCCCATTTATTGCATAGACTTGGGAAAAAAGTAGTGTAACCACTAATATTGGTGATTGCCTGCAGTTCGAAATAAAGTGCACTCGCCTTGCATGCCTTTTGTTGAAGCTGAGAATGAAGCACACAGGAGTTATCTGACCTCGGTAACAGTTGACTTAACAGGGCTAGTTTCAGATCTCAGCCTGAGTTTATCTGACCCATTATCACTCGTATCGATTATTCTGCTTGAGCTTTCAGCAAGATAAGTGAAGCAAATGCCGTGGCATCTGCTGAATGGCATGGCTGTAATCTTGGTCGATTCTCGTAACGCAGCACTGGCAATGGTAGCTTCGTAGCAGAAAGAAGCTTTGGAAATGCATTCGGCAGTGCTGTACATTCAGTGCCTATGAAGTTTCCTTGGCTGCCACATCTGCCTAAAAAAAAAAAAAAAAAGAAATGTAGGTGGAAGTTGTCGGATACAGAGTGATTGTAACTTTGACTTGTCTGTGAATGATTCTTGCCAGTGCTTCGTCTTTACCTTCACTTCCTAATGTGCCGTCGATCCAACAAGCAGTAACAATACGCCATACTGGTATTTGCGACACTTTTTTCTGTTTATTTAGCAGCATCCCTTCTTGCTCGCACTGGTCTCGTTAAGAACTTTTGTTTCGTTAGTATGGTTCCTTGTGCAGCCATTTTAGCGGTATGCTGTAGACCTGTTTTCCTTCTTTGAACATCTCGCGTCGTGCTGCCTGCTACTGCCAAAAGCTTTTTTTCTCTTCCAATTCAGAATGTTTTTGTGGGTGCCACGAGCAAGTGCTGTTGTTCAGGCACTTGCTGCTTGTCCTTTGGGGGTTGCCGACGAGTGTGCCTGCGTCGGAGCGTGGGAGACTGGAGAGGCCTTTAATCCTGCCGTGTTTGGGCTCAAAGCTGCTGACCCAGTACACCTCCTTGCACGCTTTGGCAGCGATCAGTTGCAGCAGCGCTTTGCTCCCAGATTTGTTGCTTGTGTATAGGATAACCTTGATATAGTAAACGTGCATACAGCAAAGCAAAGTGAACCTATAATGTGTTTCACTGATGTCAGTCTGGTAATGCATACAACCTGATAAATATGTAATGAGACTATATTAAAGTTAGATGCAGCTTTTTTTTATGCTGATGCTAAAGTTTGTGCTACTTAAGCCACTTTTGGAACTTGTCTCCAAGAAGCAAGAAGAAAAGCAACAGTTAGGGGCCAGAAGTGCAGTCTGTCATCTGCGAGCAAAGCCTCGAAGGTCACCCTAACATTTGGGCACCTCATAACAATGTATTCGTTGACCACTGCCGCTGCTGATCGTTTCTGTGTGTGTGCGGGGGAGCTGGGGCAGAGAAAAAAAAAGTGCCTTTGTCTGCCAAAATACTGTGATTTGTGTGAAAAAACTATTTTGAAATGCCAACAAGTTGTGACCGAGCGAACGAAGTTCATTGTGTGAAGTCCATTCCAAGAAGCATTGCATCACTTGTGTAGGTGCAGTGATCATTACAAACTGTTCTCCATCGAGGAGGCATGTGTAATTTTTTTTTTTTCACCCATTCTGAGGAGTGCGTCTTTTTAAGAAGTGCACGACGCCTTTTCTGTTTTTCTAGGACAAGTGTGTGTGTGTTTAATGCGATGTATAAAGTGTATCATAATATACACAATATTAACTTTCTTTCTTCCAGAAGTGCATATGTGTAGTGTGATGCAAAAGTGTGATATTTATTACAAAATCCCCTGCTTGTAAAGTGCTTACTAGTAATATACCATTCTCGAAATTAAAGTGAAGTATAGCACTGAATACGAAGCAGCCTGAATTTTCTAGAAAGAGTGAAAAAAAAAAAACTGAGAAAGCTACATTTCAAGACATGGTATGTGAGACTTAAGCAAACGTGTTTTCAGTTGTTTATAAATCTGTCCACTTTCTTGTAGTTTTTCTCACGGCTTTTCTTTCTTTTTGTAGTACCATTGTTGTCACAACCATGTGCTTTTTGCTGGTGCGTGCTTGTCCTAGAGTGTGTGTAATAGTCTAGTCCCAGGAAATCCAGCTACGACTTTGATTTAAAACACTTTGTGTAATGCTTGCAACTTTGTGTGGTTGCACATTTCCTCTTCATTTGCAGTAAAGCTTTCCTGTAACAACGTAGAAGACTGAGTTGAAATTTGTAAAGTCCATCACTTATATATCATTTTACAAGTGGAGGAGGGGGGATCGGGGCTGCCATTTTAGGCTGTAGCCTTGCCATATTGTATCCTTTAACAACTAAATGAACAGTGCTATCGTGGGTGCATGTTTATGACGATGGTTGCATTTGTTCATTTCATGATCTTATTAAATTCATAAAAAAAAAGAAAACTTTAATTTCAACAGCCCAAGATGGTGGTGCCTAAGTGTCTTACGTAAAGTCGTCTGTACTATCTGTTGTCCACCCTTACAGACCTGATGCGAAATCCCACCGATCACTGCTGAAAATTGTGTGATATCGATTTTCTGCTGCCTCTTTACTGCATTCTTAGCTGTAGAAATTCATCAATCTCTTACATCATCGGGTGTGCAGAAGTGTCAGTGCAATGGGTCTTCTGAATGCACAATACGAAAAGTTTGCAGTGCACTGCTGTTGCCTCCACAAACTGCCTATCCTTTTGCAATCACCATGCAAGATATAATTCATATTTTTAACTGTGTGTTTCATATCCAGTTATAACGATATACCGGGCCTTGTGGCTTGTCCAATTTGTAAGAGGAGTGGCTTCCTCCAAGCCTATAACAAAGGTTGGATAAAAGTGGATTATAATGTGATACACAACCCCAATGAGAAAGACCACCTGGCTTCGCATGCGGTTTTTCGTTGCGGCTGCAGCTTGAACTAAGTATCTTAAAGCGATGTACCTTCACACAGAGCACTCTACCTTTCATATTTCTTTCATACATACATACATACATACATACATACATACAAACAAGGACAGAGGAAAAAAGAGGCACACAATACTTCTATGTCGATGTATGTTTGGGACTGAAGCTTTTCAATTATGAATTGCCGCAAACATGCCCAAGTTTTCCTTCTGGTTTCTGTGTTACACGATAACAAACTTGAACCTCAACTAATGTACAGAATCTTGGTTCCACAATGCGCTAAGCGAGTGTAGCGGCGAGGTTACAGCAACAGTGTGTGGCACATTGCAGTGCAGCCGGTTAGGCACATCAGTGGTAGCCGATTGCTTGCAGGAGTGTCGCATTGCTTCACCACTAGCACTACTACATTTCAGCCTGATTAGGTGGAATGCAAATAAATGGTCACTATGAAATAAATGGTCACTATGGGTTCATATATGCATAAGCATCTGTGGTAGTTTAAAGGAAATCACAGTATTGCTTTGTTATATTTGGCAGTTACTTCAAAATGACATAGTTAGGCATGGTTTCACTTTATTTCAAGCCACATTCACAGCCATGGTTCTGAAATTTTGCTTTATGCGAATAACCTCGCTATTGTATATGTTTCCTTTCCACATTACCAAATACACTGTCTTCTTTATGAAAAGGAACATGCGATTGCCTGACCTGCTCTCTACAATGGCTGCTTACAGTATCTCGCAGTGCTTGTCCATAGGCCATAACACGTTTTGTTTGCCAATAGATGACACCAAAAGCAAACATGCCATAACACATTTTGTTTGCCAATAGATGACCCCAAAAGCGAACATCTTTTCTTTTGCTATCGGTTGATGGTTGGTATTGTAGGCAGCCGCCGCAAAGCGCAGGTCACGTGCTCACAAGTTCCCTTTCAAAAAGAACCACCGTGTACATTTGTTATACTTATGCTGTTACGAAGTGATCTTGACAATAGTTCCAATTTTAACTGAAGCATATTAGCTGAAGCACGTTTAGGTACTGTGCAATGGTGTAGGAATAGTCAGCACCAGAGGTGCAAGTTTCCCATTAGCTTAGGTGGAGGTGGTTAAAGGCATTAAGCCATAGTAACTGTGCATTAAATGAGATATACAAAACGAATTTGTCATTGTTGTATTTAAAATTTGTGAGCGTGTTTACGGAAGGTTGATTGGGCTAAGATACTACTCATTTAAAACCAAACTGTCACGAATTAGGGTTGCTAATCAGTACAGGAATGCCTGCTCCCTCGTAACTGATGCCTCTGTTCAGCACCTGAGTCAGGTAATGCTGCACGAGTGCAATTACGTATGCTCCGCAAAGTAATGTTTACACATCAGAGATATGGACAGCATGTAGGAATCTGCTCTTACGGCGAAGGTGGAAATGATACAGCTGCGAAATGCCAAGTGGCAGATTAAGCAGCCACCACAAAGTGCACAGCTAGCAATTCTTTTAAACCGGCGGTTCAGTGGTGCACTCATATGCACATGCCTTCAGAATCCATTGGTCGAAACTGAAGTATAGCCGGCCTTTGAGTTGAACATGGGCCGCCACAAGTCGGGGCCGGCTGTAAATATTGTCAGTATTTAATGGCCCAGAGTGCTACCATAAAAGATGCACATATGCTTTGGGCGCAGCAAAATGAATTGAATGCACTTTAGTGCAGTCTTGAATGCAAGTCATGTGTTTTCTTCTACGTGGGCCCTTGCAGCGGTGCTGCTGTAGTAACACTCAACCAGGGAGAAGTCACCCCCGCACTTCAAGGCATTGAGAAACGGTTGCCGGTTTCTGACGTGTATTTAAAGGGGCCCTGAAACACTTTTTTGAGTAACCATGGAATAAATTTACTGGGAAAGCGTATTATCTCACAAAGTGAACACCACAAGAATTTTGAGAGTACGTCCAGTTTGAGAGGAGTTACAAAGATTTGTCACACGCTGCAATCACATTCTCTTTTCTCTCGTCACGACGAAAGCGCTGGAAGCTGAGCAGGGAGGGATGGAAGGGGCAAACAAAAAACGTCACTCGTGCTTTGTGACCTTGAGCCTTTTTTCTTTTTTTTTCTTCGAATACACAGCTTTTCAGTGCGATCGGCGTGCGCATGCGTGGACAAGTGACGACCTTTCACGGTGACCTCTGTAACAACCGAGCACGCCATGTTCAAATCAGCCAATGGCTGATAGATGGGCTTCCTGGGCTTATTTTTCGTATTTTGTCGAGAGAAAACTATTTTTAGCTGACTTTGATAAATTATTGTGAATTCCAGGCTCTGTTCTGTGCTATAATATTTGGCTCAGGTGTTGTGAGAAGCCTTTACTACTGATCGGCAGCGTTTTCTGACCATGTTCAAAAAGTGTCGTAGGCCCCTTTAAGCAGGTCAGTTACTGGAAATTGCTTTGATGCAGTGGACATGAAATACTGATGATGAGTCATGCCACGAGCAAGACAGATTTGCTAAACAGAAGACTAAAGTAAGCGATGGTAATGCATTCAGCTGTAAATTTTCATATTAGCTGCTCTCAGGATTGTGTAGATTTTAGTAACCTCACTCTCTGGGTTACTGAATTGTTTACCAGGAACAAATAATGGTACATAATGAAAAGAAAAACAGAGAGAAACTGTCATTTTACTTTTTTTAAACGTTCCTAGTACAAAATGTAGCCCAAATATACGAAACTACTGTTACATTCATACAGTGGACTTGCGATAATTCAAGCTCTGATCATTTATACGTTCGGTTTTCTTCAAAACTTAATTTTTGGTTGGCCTTTTATTCTTTCAGTGTATTTAAAAGCTTCTTAATTCAAACTGCATCATTTAGTTCATTTATACTTTTTGCGGTGCTGTAACAGAAGATATCTGCTGCTTTCGCACTACTATTTAAAAATTTGCATGCTTACATAGTACTAGCGGTCTAAAAATGAAAAATAAGCACCTCAGCCCTTCAAGAAAAAAGGCTTTCACAGGAAACAAATGTTTGAAACAAAGCACACACATGATAAACCGTGATACTTCTCAACTGGTATAGAGAGCTTTGTGCTGAAGGCACATACAGCAAAGAAGCAGTTGGAAATTCACGATGTCTTTAAAAAATCTGATCAGCAGTAAATGGCCGATAAATTTATGGACCTTACAGCTCTGCTTTCTGTTCATTGCATGCAGTCATGGTCAAAAACAAGATGACAAAATTTAAAAATCTGATATCAATGCCTAATCACAATGTGTGGTGTCATTTCACTGCACAGTCGTATATCTGAGAACTTCTGATTATTCGAACTTGTTGATAATTCAAAGAAAGTTAAGAGGTCCCATCGAGTTTGAATTACGGAGAGTCGCAACTATATTGAAATCATCATTCTCGCATGAAGTTCAGCAAAGAATTTAGGCCTTTGTCTAGACTGCTGTTAACTCTTGATTGAAAAAAATACAAATTTTTACTATCAGTGTAGCGATTTGTATAATAATCTTACTTTTGTGTAATGCCCCTCTTCTGTGTTTTTCTGTGGCTATGTCGCAAACAACTTCATGCGTAAGTGTTGATGTGCAGCTTCGTGTATGTTGCCTCTGCGCTAAAGGAAGCTAAAACATGATGTAGACACACTTTGCAAATTAGTACACTGTTTATGGCAGTGACATACCCATAGGGAGCTGCAATTATACTACAAGCTTTGTGCTTAGCACACAAGGTAGATAGAAATGTCAAATAGAGCAAGAATGATTGCTTCTTTAGTGTGTCCTGTACAGTGGGACTGAAATACTATAGCAATTCATTTTTTTCCCCCTTTGGTGCACTTTTTCAGAAGCCCAAGGAGCAGTCTGCCTACGTCGGTGATGAGAAAGAAATGTGTGCAATGGAAAGAATAGCTATTTTATACCCGCTTTATATCTGGGCACATTTGGTTTTCATAAATAACTCTTGGCACTGGCACCTTGTATAAAGGTGGTGCATGTTTGATCACGATTCTGCCAGCAATTTGTAGCACATTACAGCTTTTACTTATTGTTTGCCTTCACAATTTTATGCTATAAATATTCCTTTAATTCATGGGGTTGGGCCTGGCAAAACAACTCTGATTTGGTCATGGTCATATGAAAATGATCTTTATTCATTACTTTTTTGGGTTCTTGTCAACTACAAAGCATGGCAATTATGAAATAAACATACATGCTCACAAAAAAAGCATTCAGCCCTCGAAAAAAACCACCTGCACAGCTCTAGGTTCCATTTCTGATATCAGCTGACTCAGCCTATTTTAATGGTTATGTTTGCAAAATTAGGCCATAGAAGAATCAATGGGAGAGAAAATTTAATACCATTATTCATTAACAGAAAATGAGGAGCTATACAAAAGAGACAAGCCACTCACTATAAAGAAATTTCAGTTTTAAAAAAGCCTAGTAAAAGTTATTGCAACTGACCGAACTAAAGCACAGACGTTTGGATCACTGCCTTGTGCTAAAATCGTCTTGGGCACAACGTGGAAAGATGCATATTTCTTTAAGAATACTAGCTTCTTTGTTATGTTATAGGGTGCACTTCAATCATTCTTATATTTAAACTGTACGTAACTATTACATGCAGTTCAAATGTACTCCTGTTTATATTATAAATGCAATAAATACGAGATCAGATTGTTGGCTGGTCTGTAGACATCTGTAATTCATTTAGTAAGATAAGGAGAGTTTTTATTAAAGATGACTGAACTTTTGACAGTGTTTCTGCTTATGCACTTAACAATGTCGATAATGAGTGTAATGATATTTTAAGTGAAAGGGAAATTTTCAAAGAACTTGACACTAGGATGAGGCTGTGAATGCATGTAGCTCTCAAAAAGCAAGCACTCATTTTCTATTCTTAAGGTTTCTTGAAGTATGCAAACAGCTGCGAAATTCTGACAGCTTAACACAATTTTACAACAATGAAAGTAAGCGTTTCTTTCATCTTATGTGGCATGTCGTACAGTGAAACCATTTTATGCAATTATGGTATCTGAAGTTTCGGTTTGAAAACCTTACACATTTGTGCAGCAACACCCCCCCCCCCCCCTTTCTTTTAATGAAAACAACCCGTTTCTTGTACACAGTTATACTCAAAAATATAGATCACATTATCGCTGAAGTGTACTATTGCATCTGTGTTTATGAGTGCAGGAGTGACTTGCATGTGGCTTTGAGTCTACTGTGTGAAGAATGCGTGTTGAACAAGCTTGTTCACAAATCGCAGTGCTGTTTTGCTCATCTCGCTTTGTATTAAACTCGCTTTTAAAAACCACACTGTGTGCTCCGATTACTTTCTCCACATGTTGTGAAAGACGTACATACACAAGGAGTTTAACACTGCAGGCAGCATGATCTTTCCAAGACGAGAGGAAACGCGGAATATTTCTAGAGTCCAGAAATGCAACCTGCACTTTCAAATGCGCTACATGTACAAACAATGGGACAAACATAGGGTTGTTTCGTTTTAAATGCTGCAACTTCGAGATGGGCCAATTTGAATCATGCAGCATTTTCTTGATTTGACGTCAGTTAAAACACTTCAAGGCTATAAATTTTTGTTTGGGTTAAAAGTAGGGGTGTGCGAATATGGAAATTTTCAAATACGAATCAACTACGAATACATAGCTTCGAGTACGAATCAAATATCAAATAATGAAGAGGTGCAATTTTTTTCCACCAGTAATCCTTTACTCAATCATATATTTATGTTGGAAACACTACAATTGTTAATATAGTCAGTTATTGTACACAAAAATAAAAAAACGTCACCAGCTGTACTTGCCAGAGAGCATAGGACTGCAATAGTTGAGCTTGTGACGTTGATGTCTTGGATTCAGTCCACATCTTGAACAAGCCTTTTGTATATTTTTTTCATGTGGTAGCACTGTATTACAAAAAAAAAAAAAAGCTTTCATACCTGCCATGATGACTAGTGAGCATGAGGCCACTTGTTTGATTGTGTAATAGTTAACACCTGTGTACTTAAATATAAACGATTGTTAAAGTAGCCTAGGTGGTCACAATTCATCAAGGTTCCCCCACCATCAGTTTTGGCTAGAAAGACCCCGATTTTATAGTTTTCTTTCTAATTTTCTCCCCTGTTCTCACTATTCAAGCCACCAAGGGAAATAGGAGTGCTTGGGGCATTTTTAAACTAGCATGCTTCTGTTGTCTTTCTCGAGGACTGCGCGCTCGCCATTTTCAAATCAAGAATGCTCTGTTACGCTGATAGCTGCACGATCGTGACCGAGGTGTGCCAGGCATGCAGCAATAACGCGAGGTAAGCACGCAATATAGATGATTACTGCATGATGTGTAATACAAACACGCCCCAAATATGCCTTACCAGAATTCCACCAAAACAGGGACGCCTTCCCATTCCCCGAAAAGAGCGAAAGCGATGCACGCATCACGTTCTATTCTGACCCTGAAATTCACTCCAGTGCGAGCTAGTGTGTTCCATTGGTCTTCAAATTGGCTACCCTCCAACAGAGTGGAGTGCTCCGATGCAGAGTTTGTCGGCCACTCCGAATCCGCCAATGGAATTTACCGTTACCCAAATGCATGCTTATGCATCCCAAGCTTCGAAACACACTAACATTTACGTGTGCAGTCTTTTGACTAAGGTCTTTGTACTGGCCACATTAAGTGCACACACCAGGCTGAGTGCTGGCTGTTTACTAGAGTTTCTGTGGCCCGTCACAAATTGTAAGCTCATGAAAATGAAAGCAGTTCTCATACATTTCATTCATAGGTGGGTTCAGATTGTCGAGTGTTCAACAGAATCTGAATGGCATATGTGATCAAAGTGTGAGTAACCTATATACTTTTGCAATAGGCTGTTACAAACAACTCATCACAAAACAATAGGTTGCAAAGTAGCAGCTAGCTAAATGTTGCTGGCTTTCACCTTTACAGTGAAAAAGAATGCATATTTATTGTCTTGCTGAAGTGAACGAAAAAATTAGCAATTTAGTGATCAAACTGATAAATGCTCCACATTATTAAAACACTACTAGCAGTAAAGTAAATGAAATGCAGCTTTTATATCTAAGCACTTGCACGCAACATATCCAAACAGCGTGGTTTCCCATTCAAACGCGTAGATCTCTAGTGGCTTTTTTAACATGCAAATGCATATAAATTCTTCTGGGTCACGCATATGTGCATGCGTGACCCAGAAGAATTTATATTTATACTTCAAACCATAGTGCACGCATATGTGCACTATGGTTTGAAGAGCCAGGCTGTGTTGATGTGTTGCTTGGTCTGTGCAAGACAGGAGAGCGAAATATTCTTCGATCTGGTTTTGGTAACATCAAACAATGAAAACTATGCTTATGAAAAAATATGGCAAACACCTAAAGCATGGCCCTTACTCTTCTGCCATTGTGTAATTTACTAATTTCAGCAATGTTGCATAAATGCACTGGTAGAAAGTTGATATCACCACTCACCAGAAGTATTATGCAACTAATACTGACAATTGCATGGTATGAGGCAGAAGAGAAAAAAAAACTGCACATATTCTGTGCTCCCTTCAATGTAGCAGCGCACTCTACAGAACATGTTTCTTCACAAAGAGAGCGACTTATCATAACAAGAGTGGATGAGCAGGTAATTTTGCATTGTGCTGTCGAGCAACGACGCGCTGTAGTAACAGCCATGGAGTTGCACAAGTGAAATAAAATGCTAAGCATGACATACAAGGCAACACAGTTTCTTTTTATCGATTTATTGACCGGGGTACACATTCTGATGAGCCTACATTGCATGCACAAATTATACACGTAGTACAGATGATGCACCGATTTGGTCACTTCTCAGTTAACTATCAATAATTAGGATTGTTGGTCATCTAACTACTACACAATGTGGACGATTCAAGCACTTTCATTGCTTGTTCCCCTAAAGGGAGCACCTTATTCAACCGATTTTCATGAACATATCTATGAAAAGCATAGAATACTGAGGTTACTGCTTGTCTGCAGCTTATCCAGATACCTGTACGCAATTTGCCCCAATGTTGTTCAATGGGTCAAACTCGCCGCTTTCTATACAGAGTGCGTACTCTGCACTGTTAGAACATTGCAAACAGGCTGTGCAAATTTAGATGTATTTTTTCAGTGGGGTCCATATTCTACGCATTTTATGGTACTGTTTAAAAGAACTCAGACACAAGCCTAATTGCATTGAAATGTGTGGCCAAAGTCTAAAAGAAATAAACCCTTTCAAAGTATGCAGTCTCCAGCAGATAGTGCATAAGAATGTTATTGAGCAAGGGCCATTATTCTAATATTGCTTCTAATTTAACGTTTGCCTGATGTACTATAGACATGCTGTTAACAGTGCATGCACCAATCACTACACAATGTCTGCAGGTGACTGTGAAAGAACATACCACACATAGGGAAAAGCAAAAGGAGAGAGACAAGAATGACCAGTGATTCTGTTCTCAACTAGTACAATCAGCTGCAGTAAAATGAAATGTTGAGAAACTTTTAGTACAGGCAAGCTTTACATTTTAGTTTAGTTTTCCCATCTTACCACTTTGAAGAAAAATTCACTGATGCAGTGCAAAGCTTAAATGACATCTTACTAAGATATGCCATCAGCTACACTGAGTCATAGTGTTGTATGTTGTGGAATGCAAAAGTGAAAGCATAGAAGAAGGTGATCAATCCATAATGCGGCCATATACGAGAGTGAACCATAAGCAGACACATCATTGCTTAGCCAATGTTTTCATACTTTAAAAGCTGCTTTTGAAAATGTCCACTTTTTGAAGATGACCACCACACTCCACAAATACTGTTCTTGCCATGCTAAGGTAGAGTAGTGGGCAAAAGTCTACGGTGCAATTACGAGATACTGTAGCAATACGCACTACGAGGGTCATGACTATGACATGCACTTGAAAATTCGCATGGCCACACCAATGCCGACGAATGAAGGAAGAAGGAGAAAAAAAAAAGTAAAGAGAGTAAACATTCCTATTCGGACACAAACACAAGGGTCGCTACAGCTTCAGTAGGCATGAAAAGCACACCGTACTTCATAGGAACTTTTTTATCCGATAGGTACCTAACCGTCCACTTTATGGACTGTTTCTCCCTCTTCACACTCAAGCACAGCTTCCCTGAGGTAGGCAGGCATGGCTACCAAAAAGCCTGTCCCCGTGAATGCCAAAGCTGCAGAATCTTTGCAAGCGATTAACATTTCAGTGGTTGCATTTATGTCCTGTTCTTTATTTTTTCAGCTATGTGCCATGAGAAATGCAAGGCTACGCACTGTAACGGTTGAGAAATGCATGCGCCAAACAAGAGAGGCATGCTTCCATGGTACAACAGGAGGTGAACAAGTTAGCCCAATGAAGAATTCGGCTTTCTATTTCTTGTCTGCATGCATTTGTAATTTTATATGCAGCTCACATGCAACACCCCGACAGGCCTTGACAACATGGCAACCTAGGTACACGACGATTGAGAACCAAACTTTTGTGAGCAAGTAACGAATTTCCTGCGAGCGCACAGTAAGATCAAATTTTTCAATATTTTGTAGATAAACATTTATGAGGCAGCACATCAGCTACAAACGGCCTGTCTGGAACTGGCATCACAGCAGTACATAAAATGAAATCGGCTGAGCCAGTGCCTCGCCGAAACGACAGTTAATGCAATTCCAAGTAATCTAGGTTCACATGCGGAGAAGTACCTCGTTTCTCAACATCGCATGATGCCTGCCATATTCTTGTGAAGAAACTTTGAATGCCAGCAACACTGAGATATTCAGAGTGCAAATGACTCCAGCAGCTTCAGCAATCACACCTTCCACCTGCTTGCAATAATTCTCTAGGAAACGAGAATTGAACAGGGTAGTAAATATGCAAAACGCGACACAAAGCAACTTTATCGCTACATATGACACTTGACAAAAGACAGTCATGCAGAGAAATCGAAGAGACAACGAAACGGTCTATTGAATGGCAAATAAGTTTGGCACTACAAACTATATCCCTAGAGCATCAAAAGGGACACGTTTATCGGAACTTTCATGAGGTAGAGCTGTATCTTTGGTCAGTATTCTTAACCTTGTTGCCATAAGTTTGGCACACACACAGACACATAAGACGGCACAGTTAACACACACATAGACACAAGTCACACGACTAGTAAACACATACAAGACACTAAGAACAAGTGGCAGGATAGGATGCACATTTCTCTTCTATGCAAAAGGAACATTCACAAAAACGCGGACACCCGTAATGCTGGTGGAATGTAAACACCACTTCCTTAAAACACTCACAAACATTCAGACACACCAGTGTCTGCAAAGCAGCCAAGAATGTTACAGCAGATGTGATAAGCAATGAGCCAGTACACCAGGGCTCATAAAGAAAAAGATTGTTCTGCTTCACAAACGTCTCCATCCTCTAAGTAGCCTTTCAAAGTTTCTAAATTGAAGCAGTCAGGGAGCTGTGACTTTCCATTCGTAGCAGCTAAATGAACAGCATGCTTCTCGCCAGATTAAAATGCTGTCCGACTACAGTCCTGTGATCGCTGCATTTAATGACCAGTACAGCGGAAAATGGCCTGGTACAACATTATGCTACATATACACAGAAAGGGAGTGTTACGAACACGTATGAACAGCTCGTAATGTTATACTAATGCCAGCAAGGCTACGCTACTCCTCCTAGAACAATCTGCTAGCTTTATGAAGAGCTTAAAGATTTTTCAAAAAAGGCATTTCCTCACAGATCTCTTTCGAACAGAAAATTTCTTGCGACCATTATGAGCAGAGGAACTGACAATTATACGCTTGCCCTATCCCACCTCCATAGACGCTGTTTTCAACGGGTTACACCACTGTTGTCTAGTGGCCAAGATGCTCGACTGCTGAATCGAAGGTCCCGAATCGAATATTAGCCGCGGCGGCTGTATTTTCCATGGAGGCAACAGTTCTTGAGGCCCACGTACTTAGATTTAGGTTCGTGTTAAAGAACCCCAGGTGTTCGAAATTTCCGGAGCCCTTCACTACAGTGCGACCCATAATCATATCGTGGTTTTCGAATGTTAAGCCCCAACCATTATTAATTTTCCAGCCATGGACACAGAACAATCTCTCTCATGCCATTGTCTTCAGTTGTACTGTTCAAGCTACACCTGAGAACATACCCTGGTAATTTCATAGCTGCGAGCATTGAAACTTATCAAATCTCTCGTAACTTCTTGGGAGCACGCATCCAGTGTGAAGCATGAGCTGTGAAAGGCCACTTCTCCAATTCTAGCAGCAACCGTGAGTTTTAGAGAAAGAATACTAGCATGTAAATCCTGTATTTTGCTTCGTGCAAACTACAATTACTTAGAGCATGAATTTTTTTATATAAGGTATTGCTCATTTATTTTCTTTTTTTCTCTCACACCAAACTCTTGCCTGTCAGTATAACCTGAAGCAGTTAAATAATTGATGACTAACAGGTCATAACAAACTGTATAAGCTAGAGAGCCAAACCAGAATATAGTGAGCGCAACATTTCTCTTTTATGCAGTTTGTACAACATCGCACAATCACTAACAGTGTGAAATTTTACCGCTTAATGTGCCTTCCAGAGCTCAGTGAAATGGTCATTCCAACTCACACGTACGATGACAGACGGAAATGACAAACACTCGTTTATACACGAAGTACCCTGAGTAATGTGGAAGTGCAACGGACTTTCACACTTCTGCAACCTGCTAGAACTTCCTGCACTGATTGGCCGTACAATAGGACTAGAGCCAATAGTCCTCCCTCTGGATTGCAAAATCAAATCTCGCTCTGAACAGAGTGCGAGACTGCTATTGTGTAACTGAACTCTTCTCGTATCACTGCTCCTTTCCTCACAAAGTGTAGTTAAATCACCAACACAGGGAAGCTGTTTGCATGGTCGAAATTCAATGTACTAAATGTGCATATTACTGATTGCCGGAAAAAAAAAACGTTTCTTGCCAATATTGGCATGTAAATTATATATGCTTCTATGAACAACAGGAATATGGTGAATATATTTTTCAGGTTACATGCTGCTTCAATACAATGAAGTTTGAGTCTGTTAACGGGGCAAACAAATGTTTAGCGAACTTTATTGCCTGCAAAGTGAGTAGGCAGGCATGCGATTGCTTGGAAATTTCGCACGGGGTTTGCCTTTGTGCCAAAAGCAGTAACATGCTGCAAGTTGTCTCGTACTCTGATACCATGCCTGTGTTAGAAATCTGGATCAAGGCATATGCCTTCACACGCTGAAATAAAACCAAATTTCAGAAGTACACTTTTTTTTTCTTTTTCTGCCTATTATCTGTGTGTTGTTTGAGAGAAGTTACATGAACTTCATGTCATAGCTTCGTTGAAACTTTAACATTCCGTTTCAGAGTGTTCTCTCTTACATTTCTAAGACTGAATCCACAGCAAAGGTAACCATAACACAGTCAATAAATACTTATGAACTAAAGTTATTGGCACACAGGCTCCATAAAACTCACCTGTGCTCACAAATTGATAATTTACATTAGTTGACATGACTAAAACATTTATGCAATAGCACTCTCAAACAAGTACAATTATATTATATTTGCGTACACATAAACTATAATAATAATACAGCGTTATTTGATTCACAGGTATAAACATCTCAAACATATGACGTGTAGCTGGGGAGAATTCGGGGCTTGCAATTAGCAGCGAGCCAATTCATGATTGCATCTGTAAGAACTTTGACCAGTTTGGTAGGTGTTTCACATTAACTGTATGTCAACGTGTAAAGCTTTTTGATGCTTTTCTCATGTGCCATCGCTCTGCACGTTTTATGCCATACAGAGTAAGATTAAGTGCACTGGCTCAAATATAAGTGAACTCCCAGATGACATTCTCTCAATATTATCCTTTACGTGTATTTTGACTGTTTAGAATTTCACCTGTTTCGTTGTAAATTATATAATTTTTTGCTTTATTAATGAATGTCTGAACGTTCCTTTTCTCTTGTGTATACTCCCCCTTTATGTAATACCCCAACAGAGCCCTTTAAGGGTTAATAAATGATGATGATGATATCTGAAGGCGAGGTCCTAATATACCTGTGGTGTTTTCAATTATTCAAAGCATATGATAGCTCGAATTATCATTGGTCATCATTCGTATCATTCGAATGATCTATCATTGGTCATATTCACGAAACATCAAATGAAAGTAAAGTTTCAGCTTTTTGTGTTTGCAAAACACTTAAAGGGCTCCTAAACCACCTAAAATAATAAATATAGTTGTGGTGTTCCTGTTATGCACGAGTCTGCAACGAAAGAGTGGCCGTGAGAATTTCCCGAAATTTTTCGTCAGAAAAATGATTATCGGCTCTTTATGAAAAGGCAGTAACATTCCAATTTCTAAGAGAAAAGTCCATAAACATTATTAAGAGCCTTAACATCACGAGTCCCACATCAGCCAAATAGTTTCTACACACAATATGAATGCTTTGCCGATTGACTTCAGATCTTTTTGAATCTCATCAGCAACACAAAGAACTAAACAGGCAGGCTAGCCTTTCAGTTCACATTTACAATATTTCTTTACTTCAGTTTATCAGCAAGTCAACTATAATATAAGTTCAAAAACGCTCAAAAATTTATATAACTATAAATTTATATTCTGTTTAATTATCAACACACAAAACCAGAGGTTCAACCAACACGGCATAACCTTTTAGAGTTAACTTATAATTTTTTGTCAGTATATTCCTTTTCACTAACATGATAAAGAAGAGTGTATGATTGTTTCTCTATGGATTGAATCATGTTTGGCCAAATACAGCGCGATTTCACTTCGAATAATTGGCAAACCATCATGAAAGAAAACAGAGATCAGTGTAGCACTATGATGTAGTAACCACCACCAGAATTTACCTAGTATGACATAGTGAGCACCACCTAGTCAACGAGTGCTTTCTCGTTGCTGTGCAGTGCCATGTGTGCTTTGAGCGCTGCAAACTGCAGGAAATGCTGGCCACATGCCGAGCAGGAGTACGACGGCTCGCCCATGTGCGCCTTCAGGTGGCTCTTGAGGGTCGAGAACTGCGAAAATGCCTGGCCACATACCTCGCACTTGAAGGGCTCAGGACCCAGGTGCAGCTTCATGTGGTTGCGCAGGTGCGTCTGTCGCGTGAAGGTCTTTGAGCAGATGCTGCATCGGAACGGCAGCACAGGCTCCGGAGGCTGTGGAGACAGCTCGCCAAGGTGGATCTTGGAGTGCGCCTCGAGGTCTGCCGCCTGTGCAAAGGCCTCACCGCACAGACGACAGGCAAAGGACGCCGCTCCCCCTTGCTCGTGAATCTTGACGTGAGTCCGCAGCGTCGAGGCCTGGGCAAAGCCAAGGCCGCAGACGCCGCAAGCAAAGGGACGCTCGCCCGTGTGGATGCGCATGTGCGTTTTGAGCTCATAGGGGCGCGAGAACGACTTGGCGCACAGGGCACAGCGGTGTGGCCGCTCGCCCGTGTGAATCTTCATGTGGCCCCGCAATGTGGACGCCAGGGTGAAGTCCTTGCCACAGACATCGCAAGAAAAGGGGCGTTCGCCCGTGTGGGTGCGCAAGTGGTTGCGCATGGCCGACGACTGGAAAAAGCCCTGGCCACAAACGTCGCATACGAAGGGCCGCTCGCCAGTGTGTATTCGCAAGTGGCGCTTGAGGTCGTAAGAGCGCAGAAACTGCTTCTGACAGACATCGCACTTGTGGGGTCGGTCTGAACTGTGCGTCTTCCGGTGGGCCCGCAAACTGTTGCTCGTGGAATAGGTTTTGCCGCAGAGCTCGCACTCGTGTGGTGGCTCTGAGGGGATGGTGCCGTGAGGCAACTCCTCTGCGTACAACCGCAGCTCTTCTTCATGCTCCTTGAGGTGACTCTTGACCGAGCAAGGTAGCGTGAAGGGTCGGTCACAGATGCGGCACAGGGAACAGTTTTCAAGCTTGTGCGTGAGCTGGTGCCTTTTCAAGGATGCCAAGTAGAGGAAGTGCCGTGGGCAGAAAAGGCAGCGGTGCGGTCGTCGTTTTCGATGAAATTTCGAGTACCTTTTTGAACCTGAAATCAGACAGCGTTGACAAGAGAGGATTGTGATAATGGGAACTCATACAGCACAAGCTCTGGGAGCGTACGCTTACATAATTGAAAATTATGCAAAAAATCTGCTTTTAAACAACCAGGCTACCTTGAAGCAACCACAGCTCGTAGCGACAACATACCGTCAAGTGACTTACAACTCAATTCCTGTGGAATGCATCTGATAACAAACATAAAAATTGGCACTTACTTTCCAGAAAAATCTGGCTATGAAGACTGCATTAGAATGCAAAAATTTTCGGAACTTTTCAATTCATAAATTCATGCACTTCACGTTTAAGAGCACTTACCAATAGCCACTTGATGATAGGAGACACCATGCCTCAGGTGAAACACGCTGTGAATGCTGATGCTCTCGAAAGTTGGAAAAAAGCGGCCACAAACATCGCACTCATGCTTCCTAGAAGGCAAGTGAGATGTTCGGGCATGCTGAAGAACATCTGATGCAGAGAGGAAACCTTTTCCACAGTAGTAGCAGTAGTGCAGTGTCTCCAAAGACGACACAACCTCATGCTGACAAAGCTCCAGGCGAAAACGAAAGCCACTCTTGCACCGTTCACAGTGAAGCGGGAGCTTCCGTGGGTGCTTATCCGTCAGGTGACTTCGAAGAGTCTCGGGGATGGCAAAGCGCTCTCCGCACTCGAAGCAGCAGTATGGCCTGATGCCAGTGTGTATGAATAGATGGCGAAAAAGAATGGCTGCACTTGTGGTGGAGTACAAGCACAACGGACAGAGGTAACTTTCCTCTTGGTCGCCATTGAGCTCATCGATTGGAGATGGCGGGAGCATTAAGGTGGCCAGGTCTTCCATCGCACGCTAGGGTGGGCTGGAGTGCCTCAGCTTTCTCCTGGAGAAAAGGTGCAATGTAAAAGGAGAAATGATCTATCTATACTGCTTACGCTTTCTTGTGTGAGTAAAATGGAAGCATTTTGCATCTGCTGTCGCATTTTGTCACTTAACTAATCAGTAAATCACAGCTACAACTAAATGAAGGAATTAATGAAAAACGAAAACTTTTTTTAATCGTGAAATCGTGTCGCGCACATCTTCGATAACTAGTGGTCAGTGTCAACAATTTTATCATAAGTGGCGCTCACGCTAAAGGGAATACCCTTAAACATTTGAAATTCGCACCTCAAGAGGTAACTGTAGGGGGCAACGAAAAAATAAAGCCCGCGCGCCCGCTGTAATCTCGGCGGTTGCGCTACACCGGAAAAGCGCACTTCCGGTGGTTACACGGCAGACCACTCAAAATGGTTACCGCGCGCTTAGATAACCTCCATGAAACACGCAAGTCCGCATTTGTTTTTGAAGCAAACGTCATTTACGTACAATAACACACGGTTCCATAGACAGCTGACACAAACGAAGCGGTTACAGGTGCCAGCCAGATCGGCGGCGATCATTAAACCAATCACGGCAAGCAGCGCGCATCGAATCGATGTGCACCACCGAGACGAGATGGGCAAATCAGCACAAAGACGACTGCGCTTACCTGACATGTACTTGTAGAAAATCCGCCGGGTTCAAGTCGGAATGGGGTTTCATTCTATCGTTCGCTTCAAGGCGACGCTGGAAATGGGCAAGAAACTTAGGATTCGAGAATGCAAAGCCAATTTTTAGACGCGTTTCGCTGAGAACAGATACTAAGAGCAAGAATTTCTCGAGGCACGAACGCCACACTTTCGTTGCCTTTGCTCGATTTCTATCTTATCTCTCGAAACTTAAAGATAAGCACAGGGTCAAATCACTGCTGAAAGCAACATGCCGGGACGCCAATACCACAGAGAAAGAAATGACGCGCTAGACGCCTGAACCCCCGCTCCCGCGACGAATGAAAAAAAAAACGGCTCGAGGGAGACGCAGCAGAAAAAGAAAAAGGAAAAGCGCACCAGAAAAAGGGAAGAAAAAAAGGATGTGGGGAGGCTGACTCACAATTTTTTTCTTGCTTTCCGCGCGCTGCGACGTGGTGGCGCTGTTGTCCGCGCCCTGAAAACAATTCGCTTTTTATATGACATTCACAAGCAGTGGCAGGCAAAACATATTCAAACTTTTTCGCCTCAGATAAGGGACGAAAGTCAAAGCACTTCTAATTCAATCGTCAGCGCGTGTGATCGCCATGACAACTGCCCGCAGCGCTCCCTCGCGCCGCACACTCGTGCCGCTGAGTAACGGAAATTCGCGCCGCATCGAAAACGAAACTGTTGCATAGTTGCTGCGGAAACCTGGATATTGTCCGCGTTTCGAACTGCTCATTGCCGCAAGCATATTTATTCAATTTTTCTTAAAACTCAATTAGGCTCATTTGTTTGGTGCAGTTGTGCTCCGCAGTCAGTATCAAAATTTAGGAATGACCGCTCAAGCCACCAAAATGAATCCTTGCTCATGGAGGACCTACTTGCTGTACTATCTTCGTCAAATGAAACACGAACAGCGGCAAGTTGACAGGCGCGCACTTTCAGTACGGTAGTAATGGTAGCTCTGCGGATTTATGCGTGCCTGTCCATGGCTATAGTGGACGACACGCACAGTAGGAAAGGCTTGTCGCTGTTCGGGTTTCATTTGACGCAGATATAGTAATAACGCGTTCACGCGATCAATGTTTCTAGAACTATAAACGTTGCGTGTGATCTCTTACACTTTCCCCGTAATGCTCACATTTGTCAGTTGACCTAATCCAGAGTTCTCCACAGTTGCAACGTATCTCAAACATCTACGCGGCAACACACAGCTCCTACAAAACACAAAAAGACCTCTAAAAGGTCTTGAAACAGCTACAAACGGTTTTATATAAGATAGATGCACGGATGACCTAAAACCGTCTGTTTTATGCAAATTATGCGAAAAATCTGCTTTTAAACAACCAGTCTACCTTCGAGCAACCACAGCTCGTAGCGACAACATTCCGTCAAGTGACTTACAACTCAATGCCTGTGGAATGCATCTGTTAACAAACATAAAACATAAATAAATGGGACATGTCAGTTGCTTACTTATTAGAACTAATTTCCTTAATCTAACGGCAACGATTGCACGTTTCTTAAATTAATGTTTCAGCCAGTGTAATAGAATAAGCACGGGATCTTGTTTAGCCCCTGTTCTTTGTGAAATATTTTTAGCAGAGTGTGACAAGCGCATTGCTAAGCGTCTAGATTAAAGTGATGTTCGTTGTGTGGATGATTTCCTTTTCATTCTTAATTTTAACAACTAACATGGTATGAAGGCAATTAAAAGAATTAAGGTGTCCATGATAACAGCAAAGAATAAGCAAGACGTTCTGGCCCCCGCACGGGAACCTTGCTCACAAGGCTCCCGTACGGGGACCGAAACGCCTTGCTTTTACTTGCTTTTATCGTGGTCGCCTTATTCTAGTTGTATTCATGTCTGTTCCTAATCGGACGTGTTTCCGCCCACCTATCGCTCTTTCAATTTGCATGATAGTGAGTGACTTTCATGTTTGAGATATTTTTAGGAGGTGTGTGGGGGGATGTGCGTATGCTTCACTCACGAGTTGCCTGTGAATAGTACCATCCAATTTTCGAAACTGTCCCTCAGCTTCACGGTGGAGCGCATGTGCTTGATGAACAAACCGCGTTCCAAAAAGGAGGTTCTTAATTGGACACCAGCATAATTCATGGTCAAGGGAACTTGGTCAAAGGATTTTGATGAACAACCTGCGTGTGGCCTTCTGAAAGTCCTGCCCACACAATGTTCAAGCTCGTCAAGTTCACGCGAGGACGCTGCTCGTCAGATTAGAAACGTGCGCGTAGCATGAGCTTGGATGGCGGCCAGCGTGAGCAGCTTGCTAATTACACGTTTGGAAACATGCATGTAATTTCGTCACTTCGTTTTAAAGGCACGCCATGTGTCAATTGCATTAGGGTGTCTCAATGCACGCTACCCTGCTGGTGGGCGGGACGACACGTGCACGGTTCGGCTGCTACGACAGAACATCTTGTAAATGGTGTGTTGTTTTACCTCGAAATAATGTAAAAAATGACCACTTATGCGCCAATACTGAAGCTTGAGGTGTACGTAGAAACTAGTCATGGGGCCAAGCTGAAATTTTCGCCCCCATACGGAGTCGTAAAGTAGCCAATTTGGCGCAATGTAGCACCAACGGCAACCTTTCCACCTTGGGCTGTTGAACGAATACATAGATACAAAGAACTTCATTGGAGTCCTGAGGGACGAGACTAAAAGAGGCCACGAGATCTCCCCAGTGAAGTCGGTGGCTCCACCCAAGTCGGCACCGGGAGATGACCACTCTCAGTGACGACACCCTAAGGGGACATGGCCAGTGGCCGACGGTTGGTTAAGGGTCGGCAACCGGTCGGTGGCCAGTTTAGTCGGCGAGACAACCGAAAGAAGTGGTCGGCCCGTGACTTGCCATTTACCAGGTCGGCAGTAGGTCGGCCAGTGTGCTTGACCCGACATCGCAGGTTTACTTTGGGGCGGCCTCTTTTTTTAGATCGGTGACAAATACAAGCGCGGGCGATCACGCTTGTAAATTTGCCCGTCGTGTAAGCAGAAACACACTTCTATTCTGCGTTTTCGTTTTATTTTGAAATATGAGTTGTGACATTACTTTAATTTCGGCATAACTGCGGTGTATGTGACACATGAAGGCTGTCTAAGGTGCAATATTCGAGCTAAAAATTAATTTTTACACATAAATTTTCGATGAAGTGTACCAAGAAAAGGTACCATATTTGTTCACAACTATAAATTTAATTTTTTTCACATGTTAAAAATACGCTACTACGGCCTAGATGAAGATAAGCATCTGTGGAACAGTAGTGGCGGCTGCAACCATGTGGACGGATAATTTGACAAGAGACAACGTGCGAACAGCGTGATTCCAAGTACGCCAAGTATATATGTCCCGATTCTTCGTAAAATGAACAGTAAGACGACAGAGAAAGCGCAATATCATGTTTTTTGAACGTTGTTAAACATTGTGACCACCTAAGAAGCTCTCCCGTGCAGCGATCGTGTGGGGCTTAGAGTTGCAAGGGCTAAAGAATGGAATGTAGCAGAATACTTGTCAACAAGAAATGGTACAATATTCTGGCCATGCTTTCGTTATTTTTGCTGTTAATGAGAGGTGAAAGCTTGGCTGTATAACACTTTGACTGAATACAGAACCGCATTTGATTCATACTTTATCATGTTCTTGCGTGGGTTTGTGGGTGTGCATGCAGATGTATACAATACAGAACACGTGCAAAATAAACAAAAATTAAAAGGAGGTTAAATCCCCCCCCCCCCCCCCCCCAGGCTACGCCCCAGCGGGCGCCCACTGGCCACTCGCTAATTTTCACCCGGCCGAACGTGGCCTTACACGTAGTCTGGCACTCGGCCACGTCAGCCAATAAGGTCGGCCCTACGTCGGTGGTCATAACATCGGCCAACCTGAGGCCAGTGTCAATCCTATGGGCAACATCGGCAAAGATGGCCAGCGACCTCGGGCCAGCGTTGCGCCGAGCACTTTTGTACCATTGGGACGAGCCCTCTGGACGGCCTGGGTTGTTGAGTGCGATCCTGACAGTGCCGTCGCTCATCTCAGCAGACTGCATAACGTGGGGTGGATCCCGCGTTAAATGCGCACATCCAGAGCATGTGGTCGAAGGAGCAGGTTTAGTGCATGCATTTAGAACATGACTGTGGAAAATCGGGGCTAGACCAACTGAATGCTAGTAGCCTATATATATAAGATAGTGCGTGTCTGCAGAAGTTGAATGTTTTTTTTTAATTTTTGTATATTGAGGCGTGAATTAAGGTTATAAAAAACATCGAATCATCGAATGCACCAACCCAACTGCTTTAACACGTCTACCGTAAACCATTCGTTAAGTTGTTAGAGGCACGTGTATAGGTGCGCAGAAAAGACCGGGGGTGGGGGAGGAGGGGTTACAAAACATCACTCAATAACGCTGCCGTTCGAAAGAACGCATTTCCCATACGTTATACATAAATCATTCCTGAAGAGGATTTGCAATGATTATTAGAGCAATTGAGCAACATATCGATGCTGGTATCCTGACTGATTCAAATCTTTACGACGATTGGGAAATATAGATATTTTATAGCACGGCTAAGCATTAACACATGATTGATCTATCGGGTGCTTCACGAAGAAAAAGAAACACAGGAGACCAGACCCGCCTTTGTAGCCTCTGGGACCATTTGTCAAAGTCAAACATTTAATTTCTTGCGACGCTGTGGTCCGCTAGAGAAATGTGCGCGGGCCGTGTGTTTGAAACCACTGGTCTATATGGTACGCCTACACTGGCACACACTTACACTTCAGATGCGTACTTTCAGTTCATTCATTGGCGAACGCGGATGAAAATTTAAGGCAGGTGCGGTTGTGCCGCACTCGCCCAGACATGCTCGTTCTCATCGATCGCATGTCGGACAAGGCAATCTGTGCGCTTCGTCTGCGAACCACATGCAAGGGGACTGGATTCTGCAAATTAAATTCATTCGCATGCAGAGAGCATCCACGAATGTAAAATGCTGTGCTCGTTAATATGCTTGATGGTCATGTACGGATTATAAATACCTACAGGGCGCAATGTTTGTGTCGCTATTCTACGTATATAGTCGGCCATCTTTCGAAAATCGTTCACAAATGCATGAGAGTTGTGGTTAAGCCTTGGCAGGCTCAAGCCTATATTCGTCATAAGAACGGCCGTTTCGTCTTCAGCGGCATGGAAGGTTTATGCTGCGGCTCCACAAGGTAAGATATGAATATTTAATTGCAGTGAAAATTGAACGTGTACGATTACGACAAAAAATTCACATTTAAACCTCTCA